AAAAATCCTACTTCCCAGAACTATAGTTATGCTTTACTTTAGCTTTCCATATTTCATGCTACAGTATATTCAGCTACTGCACAACATTATACATGGTCACCCAAGACGGTAGACAAGCAATCTATTCAGTACTCTATATTAACAATTGCATATACATTTTTAAATTTGCAATGTGGAATTTCTTGCATCCCAATTAGTGAAATTTAACACAGCAAATATCTGTCATGTTTATTAAATTGATCCATTTGAAAGGTAATTTTCACTATACCATAACAGCTTTAAAGGGACTTTTACATCACAGTCATCTGTAGTTAAATAATCCATCAGAGAGAAACAAAAAAAACCCACACAGGTGATTTGTTTTGAGAGCCAAACTAAAATTTTATTGGGTACAAAGTGGAAAACTGTCCTGTACAGTTCAGTGCCATTAACAAAAAAAACAACAACAAATAAATAAACTGGTTTAATTTGGAAGGAAATGTTTCAATTGGGGTGAATGGTTTCTCAGACAGTACGCCTTGTGCGTCATTACAGCTCTTTGTTAATCAGTTGAGACTGGTGGCGTCATGCCGACGATCTCAGAAGTGCTGTGAGTGAGCTATCCACCGAGGATCAGGCCTCGGTTACTGCTTCTCTTCCTGGGATTAGCCTTTAAGGGAAGACATTCCAGCTCTCATGATTTCATCCACCAGAAGTATGTTGCTTGCAATTACTGTGCTGTAGAAAAAGACAAGAGGCATTTTACAAAGCTACACGAGCCACGTCAATCTCCCAAAAAGCAAAACACTCTTACTCTTAATCTTTATGGACAGGAAGTTGTACTTAGCAAAGTGAGTTATCCAAATACAGCTCACAAATCAAATCTTCCACCTTCTCTACATTAATTAGTGTATGAGTGAACGATTCAAAGACTTACTTTGGGAGGGTCAAAGTCATATTTAGAATCTGACCTATTTATCACAGTCACTGAACTAAGCCATCAGTCACTATCATACTCTGCTCAGAAGGCAAACAAAAACAGCCCATAAAGCCACTGCAACTTCGCAATAAAATTACCTTTCAGTAAATGACAAATTTCCAGGCTAAGTGTTTTATACTAGCCTTAAATGTTTTAGTTTTAATAAATTCAGTACAGGAATCAGAGGTCTGCACCATTTGTACTTAAGAGCTCCAAGAATTTCTCTCCCCAGCAAAACCCTCAGAAGTGTACAGCATACGTGACCTTACCATGAATGAAGAAGCTGTTTCTTGACACTGTAGTTATCCCACACACCTGCCTCACTTGCAACCATGGGTTCACCTTTAAAAATAAAATGTTCACTTCATTGCAACTCTTTCTTGCAGAATGCAGACAGTGGTGTAAACCAAACCTGATGGTTTGCAAGACAAATATTCTAAGTTCCATGTATTACAAAACAAAAATGAACAATGTGAGAAGCAGTGGGTCAGCGTTTTAAATCCTTGAGGATTAGTGTATTACCTGTGTTCAGGTCCACACCAATGAGCTGTCCAGACTCTTTATACTCAGTCTGCAGCTTCACTAAGGTTTCCTGTGGATCGTAACCAGAGTTCTGTGCAAGCACCTGCCAAGGAAAGAGGTTGAGAATCGGAGCCGTGGCCGGCACAAAACTGAAAATAAGTAGTAAGCGTTAACGGAAGACGTTTATATCTACCTTGGGAATAATAAGCAGAGCGTCCGCAAAGGCCTGCACTCCCAGCTGGGCCCTGCCTTTCACATTAGGTTTGTGTTTCACAAGGCCATCAGCCACTGCTACTTCTAAAGCACCAGCTCCTGCCACCACACAGCCTGACAACAGAAGTTATATTCAGGGTTCATACTGTGCTTCATAAAGAGCTTACTGTTCTTTTTTTTAGATAATCTAATTGGAAGAAATGGCAAAAGGTCAGTAACTACATACCATCTTCAATAGCATTCTTGACTGCCCGAAGTCCATCTCTTACGGCATCTTTGATCTGTGTTAAAGTGTGCTTGTTTGGCCCCTTGATCAGAAGGGTCACTGAGCGTGGGTTACTACAGTTTTCGATGAATGTGAACTTCTCTTCACCCTATAGCAAACAAACACTTTCAGTGGTTCATTCAGTAGATCACCAATCTTATCCAAGTAAAGCAAGCACCTCATGGGTATTAATACTGATAACTGAACAGCATCACACTTTGTGCTAACAGTGACCTATTCTTTTGCATGGAATCTAACTGCTTTAAACACAATGCTATAATCTTTTAGATAACTTGAGCAGAAAGAAACTGCAAAGCAATAGCTGGTTAATTGTTCTATATTAAAGGCTACCGTAGCTCAACTTTATTATAGCAAACATCTTCTCATGATTACAGCATGATCACTTCATTGGGTGCTCCATTTCAATGGCCTGATCAACATTCTACAGCTAAGTGGAGAAAGAAACTCTGAGAAAATAACATCATAAATACAAACACAGAAACATTTTGTGTATCTGCAACAATCCAACACTTGCACAGAAAATCTTGAATAAACTTACAAGTGTGTGCTCATACATAAGACCAGCATATCCCAGGCATTCTGGTGTTAGGTCATCCACAGAGTTCATGGCTATACCTCCACATGCAAGGCTAAGCCTTAAAGTAAATAAAAACAAAGGACTTATAATCAGCTACAAACAGCTGTATCTTGATGATCAGGATACCAATAAACAGTATAATACAGATTGTATTCACTCTTGCGTAAAGTAGATGGATACTGAAGATCTTATCACTGTGTTATAAAGAGTGAATGATAATCTGGCATGGTGTCTGACTGCATATACTACTGACATGAGTATTACAGAATTCAGCCATGCATTCCCTTTTAAGTTGTGAACTTCAGCAAAGCATACCTATGTGAACAACAATTACAATAACACACACATTCCTTATAAAGCCCAGACAAACAAGAAAATATTTTAAAAGAACCATCAAAATACAGGAACATTGATTTTTTACATATTTATAAAAAAGGCTTTGATCAACAAATATTTAAGTCACATTTATTAAAATACGTGTACTTTACTTAATCAAGATATACCATTCAAATGCTGTAGGGAGATTCACAAAAATGAATACTTTAATATATTGCTTTCATTTTTCATGCAACTGGTCAGATCCTCAACATGAAATTAAAACTCAACCTTAAACTGTAAACTGTCACTGCAACATACCTCTCCATATTCCTCCTCTTAGCTCTGCGGAGAGCTACGATTCCTTCTTTTGCTAGTGCATCTAGAGAAAATGGATCAATACCCTGCAAAAAAGATAGTGAAAAATATAACTTGAGCCACTACAAAAATAAAATCAACCTTACAACTGTCCAGATAAAAGACTTCCAAAGAAATCTTTCCATTGCGATTTTAAAATGTGCTGGTCCACTGAATACATGTAGAAGAAACAATCTCTTCCAATGTAGAGGTAAGGACCACACTTTTCTTTAGCACAGGCAAATGACCAAGGGAGCTACAAAGCACACATGGGTGTTCGCTGTGCAACACAACCTCCATACTGGAAACAAAGCAGATATGTTTCTAACTTAAGATGAACGTGACCAAATAAACAACTGTGGAAAAACAACGACAAGTTATGTACTATTAACCAGTCAATTCATTTAAAAGCCTGATGTATACCTTCTGATTAATCACAACAAATCCTTTGGAAGTGTCACCACAAACTTTGTTCTTCAGGTCAATAATTTTGTTTACTCGGTCTTCGATGAACTTTCTCTCCGCTTTGACCAGCTTTTCCCGCTCCTCTGCACTCTTGTAAAAAAAGCCAGAGTTGACTTCGCTGCAACAAAAAAGGGATTCTTAGGCTTTTAAAGTACTGAAAATTACAGAATATTTTAAAGAAGACACAGCAGAGTAGTGAAATGACCCTTCATATATAATGCAGGTCCATTGGCGCAACCACAATAATGCAGATTAAAGATTCGGAACAGCAGTGAAACCAAAAGGATGCAGCATCTGACCGCTTTTCTAATAGGTAAGGGGTCCCCAGGTCCACAAGGGGTCCTTGAAAATCCCAATCTAGTTAGTCTTATAGATCACCTGTAAGTCATTAGTTTATTCCTAAATCTTTTCAATTAGAGCTCTGCTCCTTGAGAACTGAAGTCTCACAGAATTCTGGATTACTTAATTTAACAAATCATCCTTCAGTGATCTCAACTTAAGTATTCCAAATATTTAGACTTTGATGTAAATGTTACTTATTAAACCTGCAGGGTAGGTGCCCTCCAGGACCAAGAGTGTAGACCCCTACAACAGATCAGTAGGAGCAACAATTTTCCTGAAGAACAGCAATAAAAAGCAAAGGCAGAACGATACCCATAACATTCAGCGTATCTTGATCATGCTCGTCCCAAGATATTCCACAAAACATTACTTACGTCTTTTCATATTCCAGGGAAACGTTGCAAGTCAGAATGAAAGCATCTTCAACTCTCTTCTTCATATCTGGATGCCGAGCACCATGATCCAACACCAAACCTCTGATCAGGCTGTACAGGATACAACACAGAAATGGCCACGATTGCTTTAAACATTCACCGTTATGACACCCTTGTTTACAAAGGGGCTTAATTAAATATGATTTACAAAAGTACTTAATGGTTTTTCCTAACTAGGTGGCAGAACAGTGACTAGTTCTCCTCAAGCTAATTACCGACTCCAGTAGTCCAACACTTTCCAGGATTACTCACGTTGTCTCGCTATCTGTTTTGTGTTTCATCTCCATAATTTCAACCATGAAGAGGTCAATGGGCTCATTTGGTTTCCGGATGGCAAGAACTGCATCTACTACAGCCTGTAAAGAAAGAAAAAACACTTTAATAATCTGTTCTTCCCATGTGCCAATACAAACAACTTAAGACAAACAATATAAATAATAAACAACTTACTTCTGTCAAGAGGTCTGCAAGCTCCGAGTGGACCTTGGTTCTAAGAGAAGTCCTAGCAACACTGATGAGAGTCTCTCTATCCATATCCCTGGTTACTTTCACTTGTTCCAAAACCTCAAGAGCCTTTTCTTTTGCTACTTCAAATCCCTCAGCTATGATCCGAGGATGCAGGCCCTGAAAATGATGAAAAGACCAAAATACAAGAAACTTTAAATTGGCAGAAAGGAGAGGTGCCTCAATGTTGGTGACTAAAAAGTTAAATTTGCAGTTTTAAATACGAGGTAATCTAAATGGCAAACCATCTAGACACGAGGTAATCTCTTAAGGATCATAAAACGGTCTGAGATTGAAGAACGTACCTCTGACACATACAGATCGGCTTGCTTCAGAAGCTCTCCAATTATGAGCACATTGGAAGTTGTACCATCTCCTGTGATGTCATCCTGAGCCGTAGCAACCTTGGCAATCAAAGAGGCTGTTGGGTGCTGAATTTGCTGGAGAGGTAAATGAATGCAAAGTGGTCAGTTTGCAAAAGCTAATCTGATCAACAACAAAAAAAAAAATCTTAAATTCATAATTTATGTATTTTGTAGTGTACAAAGCACACACCAAATTTTTAACGTGCTGTTCCATTTCCATTTGTACTGGTCCGTTGAATACATCTAAAAGAATGAGACTCTTTGGATGCAGAGGTACAGACCAAACTTTTCTTTAGCACAGATTGATAACCAAAGGAGCTACAGAGCACACATGGGTGTTCACTGTGCGACATCAGAATACATTAAACTAAAAGCTGATCATTACCTTACTTTATTCACCAATTTGGTTGACAACTCGAACCTTTTCTCAGTGTTTAAGTAATTAAAAAAAGTTTATAATGAAGACGTTTCCCTTACCATTTCATGCAACAGAACATTACCATCTTTGGTCAGCTTTATATCGCCGGCACCAGACACAAGCCTACAAAGAAAGACATTAACAATCATTACCAATGCATATATTTTTTGTGATGAAATATATTTACGTTAATATCCATATTTAGCTTTCCAAACTAAATATGGAAGTTTAGCTCGGGTCGCTGGTTGCGGGTGACAGAATTCACATCTGGAAACAGTTACTGTAACTAAAAAAAACAAATCTCGCGAGATCTTTTTTTTTTTTCGATGGGGCAAAAACCGCCATCAGAATAAAGATCCGGCCAAATGCAGCTTTGAATGAGACAACTCTTTTTGCCCCACGTGTGCGCCATTTACCCCACCCCCACTGCTGCCGCGCCTCGGCCTCGGCTACGCAAGGCATATTCTCCTGCAGTTTACGCTCTTTTCGTAGCAAGCGGCAGCCAAATACTGTACGCACGTTGAAAATAAAAACCAACCAAGAAGACACTACAATCAATAGAAATTAACCCGAATAGTTTCGTGGATATTGTCATAAAAGCTGCACAGTTTATAAACCGATTTATAAGATAGTTAAAAGCCTCATATTGTGAAAGTGCAGCGCAGCCCCTTCAGAAGAAGTAACGTACGTGGAACGCAAACTCCGCAAAAGCCGCCGACAGTTACGCCGCCTGCGTTGCTAGGCCTCTTGCATATTTCGGGTCCTTAATGAAACAGCAGAAAATGCAAGTGCACAGGGAGAGCAGATAAAACGTCTCTTGAGAGGTAACGAAACTCTTCGGAGTGCTTTATAAAGCCCAAATTAAAAGTGCCGTGCTCAGTTACCCTAACAAAGAATCCAACCCCGGCTCATGAATTAGGGGGAAAAAAAAGACGACTCACATTTTCATTGTGCCTTTGGGTCCCAGGTTACTCTTCAGCACATCCTGGAGTCCGCGGGCAGCGCTGATGTTTACAGCGAGAGCTGCCTGGGCACGGGCTACCTCTGCCTTCGGGTTCAGGGCTTTGACAGCGGTCATGGTGACAAAATACAGCCGGCTCTAGACACAACCGCAGCAAAGCAGGGACGGATCTGCTACCAGCTACGAAGCACGGCACAAATAGGCCGCTGCCGGTTTCTAGAACTCTCTTGCTGCCTTTATTCAGCACCGCCCCCGGGTCGGTGATTGGTGCACAGCAATGGCCATCCCTCCTATTATGCATTTTTATTGGCTAACGTTCTTGCCATTCATTTGCGTCGCATGCGTAAGACGTCTGGAGCGTCTCCGGTTTTTCTACAGGGTTTGTGTTGTACTGCGTTGATTATCCACGAATTTCTATGGTTAACGTTTTAAAACAAGAACAATCTCAAGTGCAAGTTGAAGTGATTTTTAAGAAAACGAAAAGGCAAACCCAGAGTTATAGGCCCCTTTTGATTTTAAGAACCTTTAACAATATACCATTACAGATTGTGCGGTTTTAAAACGTATTGTGCAAGCCGCCACACGCGACCTTGTATCGAAATAGCGAAACATAAAAAATAGTCTTTATTGTGACAAGACACGACCTCACGACGTGTGCTAGTCCACACGGCTGGGGCAAAAAAAACAACTGATTTGTAACTGTTTATACTAATGCACCCATTAATGAAATATATGGAATAAACGCATAATACAGGATTTGAATCTTCCATTTAGCTACTCGAAATTCACAAATGCATTCTTCAGGACACAAGGAAATCATGCCAATCCGCGGTTGTAGCTATGTGCTTCGTGCCACCCGGCCATTCGTGTGTTTCGTTATTGCTATATACAGTAGGTTGGTCGGTTCTACTCAACACACTACTGTTGCTAATGCTCACCGTTAGCCAGCGCCCAGAGGAGGCGGTCGCCTCACGCAACTCTGTAACGCGATTCGCTCAGCTGATCCCGAATTGGTCAGACCGACTCCCAGCTCATTGTACTTGCACAGCTGAAACGAACATGTCCTTGCATCTGACAGGCTGGGGGAACCCATCTGCTGTTTTTCAATGAGCGCCTTCTCAGTTTCCAAGACAGGATTGTCCGGGACTGCGGGCGGGTTGGGGGAGCGCGGCGATTCACACAGACTCACTGGACAGGGTTCATAAAGGTAAAGAGACCTTATAATTGCTATCATTAGGTTTAAATTCAGAGCCGTTTCCTTATTTTCCCCCGCGATACGTGTTTTGAGGTGAAGTTAAAACATGTGCAATAACAAGTTGGTCCGATGTTGCCAAACAGGATGATACTGTTAAATAAGTACGTGCGTAAAGGGCCCATGAATTCAATAGTTGAATAGTTGGCTGTGGTTGCAGTCTTAACTGTGTGCTGTTACAGTGGGGAGTCAACTGCCTGTCAAGATCGCGGTCTTCAGGTGGTTCTTTGGAAGATGATGCAATCTTCATTGCCTGGGTCATCATGAAATTGAGACTTCAGCTTCAGAACTTAGCCGTAACAGTCTGTAAAGATATCTTTGACAGCAAGCGGCGGCTGTGTAAAATGCGAGGCTTGCTTTCGCAAGCATTATTTTAATTCTCGACTTTCCTACTTCTGTCCTAACAGGCGAGAATTAAGTGACATGAAATTGTGTGACCTTTCATGTCTTCAGAATGCGGGACATACAGTATTAATCTCGTGATGAATTCTGCAATTTAATTTGAAGAGGCTCAGACATGTGGCTTCTGCACTAATTAAGTTATGGTCTCTTCTTAATTGAAGTTGGGACTATTTAAGAATGGCTTATCTTAAATCCTTACTATAGAACTTTAAGAAAAAAAACGCATTGCTTTTTTTTTGCTAAACTTAATAGGTAGTAACGCTTTAACTAACCTATTTGAATATTTTTTTTACATTTTAACCCTTGAACTCGCCAAAATTGCGTAGTTCCTAACAACGTACTTGCATGTTCAGTGAATGTTTGTGTTGTATTTTAGGATATCATTTTAAAAGCTCTTCAGCTTCGTACTGTAGTTAAATAAACGAAATGGACTTTTGCAGAACATCTCGGAACATCATGACTACCCTCCTGGAGACGAAGGAACTGTTTTGCAGCGCAGACGCCGTGTGTTTCGATGTGGACAGTACTGTAATCAAGGAAGAGGGCATTGATGAACTGGCTAAATTTTGCGGTGTCGGGGATGCAGTCACAGAAATGTAGGTACACACCTTCACTGTAAAAAAAAAAAGTTATCACGAAACTAGTCAACTTAATGTTAATGGCGTGACATTTCAGTGTTTCACACGACGTTCTCCCAGTTCCCCCGACTGAGGGACTGAATTAAAAACTGATGTCTCGTCGATACAAGATCAGTCTTTGCATTTTTGTATAACGTACCGAGAGCTTGACCAGCAGAACGTGTTGTTGACCAATGTTGTGTTTTTTCAGGACCCGCAAAGCTATGGGTGGCTCAATGAGCTTTAAAACAGCTTTAACGGAACGCCTCTCCATAATAAGATGCTCCCGTGAGCAAGTGAACAAGTTACTGACTGACCACCCTCCCCAGTTAACCCCTGGTATCAAGTAAGTGTATACAGTTATTTTTCCTTTAAACCAAAGGTTTCAAAATAGCCAACCCATTTTTATAACTTTGTGACTGAAATATCGGGCTTCAAATCATGCAGTTTGTACACTTCCTTTTGCCTTTCCCTGGAGTTATTGAATTTTCTGTGTGGCCAGGGAGCTGGTGGGGTGCCTTCAGCAGCGCGGCGTGAAGGTGTTTCTGATCTCGGGGGGCTTCCGCTGCCTCGTGGAGCACGTGGCCACGCAGCTCGGTATCCCCCTTGACCACGTCTTTGCAAACCGCCTCAAGTTTTACTTCAATGGTGAGTTTTCTGTCCCGGGTTTGGCCGTCAATTCCTTAACAAAAAGGCCATGCTGTTCGTGTCTTAGAATAAGGAGAACTTCGGAGTTGGAGAGATGCTGTGCTCTGGGAAGCCTAGCGATTAAAAGAATGTAGTTGAAACCACCTACCCCGAGATCCTAATTGTCTAAATTGTCCTAAATTGTCTGGAGCCATGACAAATAGGATTTCTTTCTGCATACTTTGTCCATCCAGTGAGCCTTTTGGGCAGATGTCTATTTTTGCAGAGATCCAAGAAAACACCAGCTTGCACCACAGGTGCCAGGAGAGCCTAGTGTGTTTTCTAGTAGTCCTATCTAAGTAATTGGTTAAACAGGAGGATAATCATTTTCCTTGACATACAGGTACCTGTAGATGGGATTTTTCGTAATGAAATCAAATGCTGCTTACTCAGTGCTGCTTGGAGCTTGGTTAGAAGTCTTACCATCAGGCAGAAAATTAAATGAGTAGAACAGCTGGGTCCAGAGCCTGGGCGGCACAGCAATCAGAAGACGGTAAGCCCCTCAGGTTCCCCCGACCTGCACAAGACTCTGCGCCCGCGGTTTGGGAAGTTCGGCAGCCTGCTCGGATCAGACACGCTGAGGCCAACCTTCAGCCCTGCTCCTCACCCCCCTGTAGGCGAGTACGCGGGGTTCGACGAGACGCAGCTGACGGCCGAGTCGGGAGGGAAGGGCAGGGTGATCAGTTTCCTGAAGAAGAAGTACGAGCTGCAGAAGGTGGTGATGATCGGGGACGGCGCTACAGACCTGGAAGCCTGCCCTCCTGCGGTACGTCCAGCCCTCGACGCCTACTCTCTGCAGAAACAGACTCCATACGAGAACCGAGGGTTACACACGACTTCGGCCCATCTAGCGTGCTTGGTTTCTAGTAGCTAACTCAACCAAGGATCTCCTGCTTAAACATATGAGGAAGGAATGTGCAAAGTTTGTTTCAAATTTGTATTTTTCTAACTAAAAGCCTTGATGTTTTGTCCTTCTTATAACTGTGAATCTGTCCTCAATATTACCTGTTCTGTTGTAATTAACACCATTAAATTTTAAATTTCAGCCTCTCAAGAAGTAATTGGTACAGTTTAAATAGTTTAGAAATGATTTGAAATGAAAACCAATGAGCCTAACAAATTGATCAGAACTCTTGTGTTTCAAGTCTTTACAAATATATCATACAAGGGTGATGTACGCGACCTGCTAGATACCCCTGAGTTAATATTACCACATGTAAGGCAGGAGTTTAGAACCTTGGTCCTGGAGATCCACACAACTGCTGATGCTTGTTCGAGGTGAGCTCTGTTACATTATTGAACCCTTAATTAACCTAATAATAAAATGAACGTAAAGAATTCACATTAAGGAAAGAGCCCAGCTGGTATGGAAACCAGCCGAGGACAAGGGAAGAGATCCCCTGCTCTAGACTAAGACTAAGCCCTTCCTCCAGGACCACACTTGTGACACAGAGCAGGTGTGAACACAAGGTGCACAAGCAGTCGAGGTGTGCTGTTATAAAAAGGCTCATGGGACGACCTCACACGACAGTGAGCTGGTCGTGGCTCACGATATAAAAGCTTTCTGCTGTTGCTGCTTTTCGAGCGGCAAAGCGCACGCCGGCAGAGAATATTTTAAAGAGGTTTTCATTCTGCGCTCACAGTTTGATTAAAATGAATGCCATCTCGTCCGTCCCTGCACAGAAGTAGGGACATAACGGCCGTGTCCCAGTATCCACACTGGCGGTCTCGTGCCCTTCATACAGTATGCGTGTTCCTGCTGGGGTCAGTAAGGTCTGTAAGTAAGTAAGGGTGTCCCGCTTCTAATCCGTGTTCCACACTGGTGCTCACGTGTGCCCTTCTCGTAAGTCTCTGAGCTGACTTCGCTGAACGGAATCGCCCCATGAGTGGTCAGCCTTGCTTCTTCTAGGCCATTCTTAATGCTTCAACTCGTAAAGACATGGAATACAAGTTTCATTTAGGCTGGCTCAGTTAAATAAAGAATGGCACGGTGTGGTCTTTGTGAGGAGTTTTATGTTCATTTAAAAGGATTCCTAAACTAAGTAATTGCATAAATCAGCTGCTTAAGTGGTCTTTAGAAATGTTTCCTACTGGACAGTGGCTCAGTAGAACTAACGATGGTCCACCCAGGTCTAGCATATTTTTAGACGCAGGTCTAAAAGTCTGCGTTAATGCTTCAGAAATAAATGTCTTAAGTGCTTAAGAAAAATCACATGAAAATAATGTTTTGTTACTGTGGGACTTAATTCCCATTTTACGTGAAATTTCCAAACAGTAGCCTGTATTAAGAAAAAAAGTGCCATAATGCTTTGTATACTTTAAGAAATACTGATTTGTGTTCTATTCCCATGTTTTAGAATGCCTTCATTGGATTTGGGGGCAATGTCGTCAGGCCCCAGGTGAAGGAGAAGTCTGCGTGGTATGTCACAAGCTTCGGAGAGCTCCTTAAAGAACTGGAAAAAAATTAAAGATCTGAGAACAAGAACGAAAAGGGGCATCTTCAGACACTTTTTAAAATAGATTTCTATAGTTGTTTATCAATCAGCACTCTTTGTTCACCCACAATCTTGTGCCTTTATGAATTCAAAGCCTGATTTTGCCTGGAAATGTTTTTTTCCAGACAACATTTGTCATTTTGTTATACATAGAAAAAACTGTATAGAGTACTGTAGCTTTGAACTAAGAAACATTTTATAGTGCGTGGTTCAGTAACTGAATATTAAAAGCTGAATGTGATACCATCTTCTACAAGGTCTCAAAATAGATTAATATTGTACTTTGCACTTAAGTGAGGGGGGAAAGTTAGTGGCTCATGTGATACCCTTTTTGGGTTAGTATACTCAGTCTTATTGAATCATTTCTGCTAAATGTACAAGTTTGTGGTTCAGGTATCAATATATTTGTATCAGTTCTGTCCATTTTTTATTTCCGTCATCCATTAAAACATACATTTTCTACACTATCAACCACACAAGTCTTCCATTCAGTTTTCTTGTCCAAGTACTTTTTTTCACTCCCGAATAGGGGTTTACAAATTGCACCATGCAAGAATTTTTGTTTTAACTTTAGGAATATCTGTGATGCATATGCAAAGAGTTATCAGCTTGTTCCATGTGAATGCCTAGTGAGGTATTGCTTTTTTTTATGTTAATGCTATAGACAACTGTGAACACTAGGACTTTTACACTTTAGAGACTTTTTTAAGCCACATTTTGGTATTCCCTTTATACTCCTACTCCCGTTATTATGAGTAAAAAGCTTAAGTGTGTGGCGTGATGTTATTGAATTTGCATTTATTTCCACACCTACTAATGATGCTTTAAAGCATAAAATTGATTTTTAAATTATTTTCAGTTGTAATACTATTCTATTAATCACATAATATCAATAATCATATACTGCAGGAATAACAAAGAAATGTGAGGCATTCCAGTCAAGTATATCTCTTATTGTTCTTAACTACACAGTCATTCTTGTTCCACATCAATAGACCACAATGACTGCAAATAAAGTTTATTAATTTCTGTAAATTATACAGTAGTGTGCCTGGGTTGTAGGCCTGTTACAGCAAATTCTGATTATAAAATCACTTTTTAACAGTGCTTTTAAACTAGAAACTCTGGAAAAAAAACTGTACACAAAATGTCCAACAAATGTTATAATTATACAATGCATGAAGCCCTTCTTACTAACAAAATCTGGACATGCACTAATCCACAGTATGGATTTAAATACAAACCATTTCATTTAGTACCGCTACAGCAACCCTCTCAAGTCTGTAATCTCACAAAAGAGTTGGGGTAGATAATGCAAGTCAACAGTTTCTATAGCTTTGTTGCAATTTAAAAAACCACATACGCAACTCAAGTACTTTTAAAAATTAACCAGGATGTATTGGTTCATTTAAAAAAACAGAACAGAGAGCAGTGCGTCACAAATAGCACTGCTTAACATGGTTTCAGTTATCCTCACTCCAGCATTCATTTGAAAACTAAAAAATACAATATCTGTCAGAAACCAAATCTTCTATGATTCCAATTTCGAAGGCTAACCATAAAAGGTAAATTAACTAAAGATGCCACTGTACATCTCTACTGCTGAAAACATCTACATTTTAATGGTTTTGATGATGTAATTGTTTTATAGTGATAACCATTAATCTTATTAAACCTCCAGTATAAGATGGAACTAAATTTGGGATAAATAATACGTCAACTAGTGATGATTTTGTACCCTGCCAATTAGTTTAATAAAATACTTTTTTTACAACAAAATGAATTATGTATTATACTTGAGGTACATTACAGTCGCATTACAGTTTGGGGGTGGTTAAAACAGTTTTAGGGAAGTAGAAGTTCCCTAGAAGTAGGTAATTTTAAAACATTTCCTCACAAAAGAAAAGTGGGTGTGGTCATTAATGCCAATTACCAATGAACTAAATTTGGTCCTTTGAATTTGGACTGCACAATATAGATGTCTGCAAGATTGATAATACAAATGGAGGCCCTACCAAATAATAAGAGGTTATAGTTCTACTGTAAATACATAAGCCTTCTTGTAAAGTGGATACTGTTGGTGTTTATGCCACACATTCACTGTTGAAGATGTTTTTGTCTTGTTTGTAAATATCTTACTACAGATGGTTTTGGATACAAAATTTTTAAAAGTACCAGATGCTGTATTCTGGTTCAGGTTAAAAAACAAAACTAAAAAACGTCAGTAGAGGGAGGTGGGCTTTTTTTACAACAGATTTTAGATCACAGCAGTCGGGAGTCTGACATTGTTGAGTCATTTTTATTAATAATGTTTCTTCGGGATTGTAGGAGGTACTTCATAACCTACTGAAGGGGCGAGATCTTCAAGGGAATCATAATCCTGGAATCCATATGTTGGATAAGAGGAACTTGGAAAAGAAAAGAAAAACATAATTAAATAAAGTGTGTAAGTACATGACATACAGACAATTGCCCTAAATTTACCATGGGTTAAACTATGGAAATTTAAATACAGCAATACATCTCACACTAAGTTTCTTAGAGCTTTAGAAAATAGTTTTTCCTTTAAGGAAGTGGCAGTGGTACATGGATTGTTGGTGATTTCAGCAATATTTGTAGGGTTTAAGGATTCTAACCTCATTTGTTTGATCACCAGCTGTGAAGTCTGCAACAGCAGTACATCACTCCTTTATATTCCTTTGGGATTTAAAAGCCAATTGAAAATGTGAGGTTTTACATGAGTAAAGCATAGTGGGAATGCATATGTGAAACTGTTAGGATTGTTTACACGATCCCGGCAGTGCACAACACCATTCGAAATCTTCACTTACTACAGGCAGGGGAGTTCACAGGTCCTGTACTTGATGCACAAAGGAGAAATGTGGCTCACCTGTGTAATATACACACTCATCCCAACCATCTTGCTGCCAGGCTGCATTCCTGGTGTCATCCCTCGTCTGCAAGTCCTTGTACGCTGAAACCGAAAGACCAAGGCAGCTCTAGGAATGCAGTTCGGGGCTTGAATCGTGTGCGATTGTAAGTGTGCAAGGAAGTGTGTAAACTTTAGACCAGGGGTGTTCAGTCCTAGGTTAGGAGGGACAGTGTGCCTGCAGGTTTTCTAGGTCTCTTGAACGCCGCAGCCCTCGAGGAGCAGGTGCATGATGCGTCAGTTAAGCCAGTTTAACCAGTTCACTAGCTGCTTAGTGGGTTATAATCCGAGATGGAATGAAAAGCTGCCAACACACCAACCCTCCAGACACATCTGCATTAAACGTCTCTCTCTGAGTACGTGTGTTTAGTCTTCGTTACCCCAAAGGTGATGGACCATGTAGAGGTTTCCAATTTGAGAGAAAAACCCTCCGACCGCTTCTTCGTTTTTCTGGCGGTATCCGATAGCCCGAGCCCTACAGAGAAAAAAAAATTGTCAAAAGCACCACTTGCAAGGAGTTATAAATGCATATGCATAGAAAATAAATTAGAACATATACTGCATGTCAAACGTAGATTTACCATGTTACAAGCTGGCAGCTTGTCATATTCACAGATAAATTAGTATAAAATACACAAAAGGCACAACCAGCTAAATTGTATCCCCCTGAAATATTTGTAATGACTTAAGGCTTAAACATAGTCGTACATTATTTGTCTTTAGGGCTCTTAGATTAGAATTTAATTTAGCATCAGATATTTAATTCATTACATGGTATTTATAATATACTTTAGTAACTAAGAGCCTTATTTATCAAACTCGGACGTGAACCTTTATTCAACTTGGCAATATCCAAATACCAAAACAAACTATTTGACAAATACTGTATATATTATTGCTAAACCCTAAATTAACAAATCTCTAAACCAGAGTTTTATATTTGAAACATAAAAATATCTTACCTTAACAATTAACTATGAAACCAAAGGAAAGGGAATTTGATATTTTTAAAATGTTTATATTAAACATTAGATACACAATTGATATTTTTTATTTTAATAAAAAATATTGGAAATCAATGTGATTCCAAAATTCATTCCATTTTAATCCAGGCAGATTATTTATGAAAGTTTGAATTATTACAATTTTCAAATCAATCAAATGTAAGCAGTAAAACAAGTATTGTGGAAAAAATTACATGTGCGTAATGTAAACCTTAACCTGTGAAAGCCGCCAGCCTCAGTTTGGCACTTATACAATCTGTTGAGAGGTAATAACCAGATTTTAATACTTCCAAAACTGCAAGGCTAGTACAAGTATATCACTTGTCACCACATGCATAATTACACTCTGAAAATCCAAACACTTAAAGGAAACAAATATACTGTATACATACACCCACAGAAAAAATGCATCCACCCTTTTAAGGAAATAACTGGTCATGAATGAACTGTGGTGACAGCTATCCCACATGCTATTCCCGAGAAGAATAACTTAATTACATATATTCAAATCTATACAAAATTAACCATTAAAAACAACCTTACCAGTAATTGCCCCATTCAATCATAGTTCCAGGCTGAAAAAATATGAAAAATATTTTAAAATCTAGCTGAAAAAAAAGAAATTCAAAGTAGTAATATCACTCGCCAACACCCATTAAATCAGTAAACACTTTGTTCTGTCAAGCACTCCTGTGTGTTTCATAAATGATGTATGTGCACTGAAGAGGGAAGTACTACACTGTTTAACCATTAATTACCAGCGAAGGTCATATAACACAAAGTGAAAAACACACCAGGATACCAAAACCTCTGTAGTCATTGTGCTCCGATAGTGTGGTTCTTGATTAAGGATGCTGTAAATCCCATGCAAAAAGAGTCCCGCCTTTGCTGCCGGTACGATTTGAAAGATGCAGGACTCACTCGGAGCTGATATGTTCTCAGCTCGTATATGTTGGGACCTTGTCTGGGTACAGGCTCATTCCAGAAGCTGAACTCCAGCAGCAGCTGATTCCTACGGGACAAAAGCATCTTCCCTCTTTCTTTCCGATACTCCATGAATTCCTGGGGGGAGAAAACTTTCATATGAGGCCAGCGACCAATAATATCGCAATCAAAGCTTTTATGCTTTTGTAACAAGTGATTGTGGTTTGCAAGAATAATATTTTACTCAACTCTGGGAAAATCAATTAATATTCAAGCGCCACATGCTAATTCTAGCTCATAATTCTAAATGTGCACCTGTTTCAATGTGCAGTACCTATAAAGATCGTGTGAGTACCTGGAATAATCATAACCCTCCATACCTGTGAAGTCTGTAATATTTTCTTCCCAGCTTCAAACACAATATTGAAATCAATAATTTAAATCACACATAAAGCCACAAAAAGCTGGCAAAGACCAGCCTGTTTCTCCCTTTTCCTTTCAGAGATTGTAAGTTGAAAAAATAGTGGCGTTATTTACGTTTTGTATACGGATGAAGAAAGGCTCCAGTACCTTGTTTTGCCTAAGTTTACTCATTACTTCAGTTAGTGCTGGGTAACCTCCCTCATACCTCCACAGGTGAACTAGAAAACAAAATGCAGAGCACTTTATGTTACTTGATGGTTACTTCATTATGACCACATCATTGAGAAAGTATTGCTTAGTAAACCAAGAGCTATCCATGCATCTTGTTAGTTGCCGCTTGTTCCAATTCAGGGTCGCAGGGGAGCCGGAGCCTATCCCAGCAAGCAACAGGCACAAGGAACCCAGAACTATTTCCTCTTCAAATACCAGGAGCTGCACTGCTCTATACAGACAAGCACAGACATACAAAAACAAGCAACTGCTGTTGTCTTTTCTATCAAAAGAGCAGTTCTCAGTACGAGTTTGCTGAGAGACAGGGGCTCATTTGCAGTGTCATGATGGAGTAGTTATACCTGATATTCTACAATCTCCTGGAAAAATCAAAGCATGACATTTTGACCTGGTCATACTATGGGACAGCACTAGCTAATAAATTGTGGCCTAAGGGGTGTAGCATTATGTATTCAAGTGTACAAGTAGGTTTACTGGTAAAACAGACTGCAGAAGACATTGCATGCTGGGTACCGGTGCTGTCCCCTACCAGCCTGATCCTGCTCCCCGTACCACGTATTCCAGGTGCCCACCAGCTCACAGGGGTAGTGCTTATCTGCATGGATTGATGGCAAAACCTCCTCGCTGTATGGAGAGTTAAATTAGTCAAACACTTCAAAGGCCATTGTCTCGGGCACAAAGCTTTTGCTTCACCTTCACCTTTGTCACTCTTGCTCAGACAGACCCCTTCCTCAGCTGCATCTTAAGTGACTGCATTGTCATTTCTTGCAGCTGCTGCTGCTTTACAGTCCTTGCTGTCGATTGTGCTTTTGCCTAGTGTTATGATCATCGGATTGTTCAGTTAGGAAACAGTCCCCTACATAGTCATAAGCCAAAACCATCTGCTTCCATATTCATAAAGAGCTCCCATGTGCATTCTACATGCCAGGGCACACTAATTCCTTTCTGTAAAGTTAAATGGTGTGCAATCTTTATTTAAATATGATCCACATATTTTTCCAAATCATCTTTTTTAAAGAGTTTTTCAAATTTGTTAGCCTACTTCATGCTTTTTACCTGTGTGGGTACAAGCAGGAACAATTACCAACACCGTGAAACAGCAGGATAAAGATCTATTATTCATTGGTCTGCAGTTATGAATCACCAAGAAGCTTTGTAATAAATGAATGAAATCAGGCATATTCATACCTGCAAATACATTGTAAATTCATAACTGGCTCATGGAAACATCAAAAGTTCTTGTTTTAAATTTTTCAAAAATTCACACATTTTATTTTTTTTTCAAATAAATCATTCCAAATGTATCGGGTGCTATAACACACTCTATGACATTAAATCCCATCACGCTCAGTTTAACTACAGCTATACAGATGTTCCTGTTTTTGCTTAGCAAGAATGATAGCAGAAAGCTCACCAAAGTTTGTTGTAGGCATCCAGGCACTCAGGTTTTACATTGTGAACTGGAAACAAAAATAAAAACATTCAAAAATTTGAGTGTTCCTCTTAAGTTAAGAAAAGTAAATAGCTAACACCACTTTTTCTCTACTTGTGGCTTTTCACAAAGAAAAAAGGTCTTGATATATTACACTAACAACAAGCCTTTCAGAATAACTTGCCAACATGATGTTTGTTGCATCTGGTAATAGCAAGGAATACAGTGATGAGCAAGGAACTTACACTGAATTTTGTACAGGTTACTGGTTTCCTTCTTAGCGAGGAGGTTAGAGTGGGCGTCTTTTCTCGGATCAACCTTTCGGACGAAGAGAGACTTGAACCAGCTGTCCTCCCCATTCCTGTTAGTAGACGCTGACAGGGCTCTGAAGGCAACAGTGAGAAGCCAAGAATGTCATTGGTACTGAGACAGGTTTTACACAAGTTTTAATACACTCGCGCCTGAAAGTGTGCATGTGCACCATAGCAGAAATACTATCATAGCAATATATAATACTTCCAGAAAAGCCACGTTAAAGTTGGAGAAATAAAAAAATATATAACTAGAGGTTCATTTACACCTATTTCGATCTCCAGTGAATAATGAGCTCTCTGTTGATTGATGCTTGTAAGCACATCGCCCACATCTGATTAGAGCTCCAGAAACTGAAATCTGAAATAACCAGCCTCCTTCCCACCCTTAATAGTGATGAGGGATACTGAAGGTCTATGAGGAGAAAAATAGCCTGAAAAGTCCCCCCACCACTACCTTCATAAGCATTTTTGGAGGTCATTAGTGTTGCTACTGACCGGGCCTAACCTTGCTGTGGTACTGAGGAGAGACTCTATGCATATGAACACATACTGTATGACGACAGTGGTCGTAAGGCGGAATAGTGTTTCAATTTTATTATAAAATGGGAATACGTCCAATATCATAATCGGTGTTACTGAATCTAAAAATAATACACATATGTCCGGATAAATCAGAAAGAATGGCATAACTAAAAATAAATATCACATAAGCCTAAGTACTACACTGAATAAACCACGCAGAAAACACTGCGTTGACAAAAAAAAAGTGTCAAGGTCAATCACATAATTAACGGTGAAAACAAAGAAAAATGGTAGTCAGTGCCCTCCTTACAACGGTAACCATGTATGCTCAGTAAACAAAGACATTTATAATGACCTTGAGCTGCAATTGGATAAACTGCAGGCACACCACCGACAAAAACTTCCTGCGAGATAGTCGGCCTGTTTCGAGGTCAATATTAAAAAGGGAAACGAAAGGAAACAGGAGGTCCAAAAGTATAACTGCTGTTGCTTTAAGATAAAGTTTTAAACGTTGTTGTTTTTTTTTTTTATATCTCAGCGCAAATTGCACACAGCCCAAACAGGGGTGGAAGCGCATTATTTTCCCAACCTACACTACAGTTTGGAGGGGGCGGCGACATCGGCTGCACAAAAAAAGCATGGACCTAAACACGCAGAAAGAGCACCTTTAGTATGAGAGAAAAAAAACACCGCGATGTTTATTACAAACTGCGCGGAAAGAGACGAACCTGGAGACGAAAACGAGCTGTCCTCGGGCTCGGACCCTAGTTCTTGCTTGATTCAGGTCGGCCCCCAAACTCCGAAGGACTCGAGTCGCCATCTTCCTCAGGCTGAGCATTTCCTGCCACTGATAACGACGTAACAGATTATCTGAATCAGGAAAGCCATTGGAGGGCAGTGAAGGCAATTTATGCAAAGAATCGACGTGATGTCTAAGGTCCTGAGCTTTCATCTTGCAAATCTGGGGGTACGCTACTCCAAGAAAAGACTTGTTTTGCTTACGGATGGTAACTGTCCGTAGGGTGCAACCTCGCATTTTGGAATGGTGTTAAGATTGCGAGGTAATCATGTTTTGAACACGTGCAATTAGGACTAAGAAGAGAGAATAAAACGTTCGAAGTGTAACTGTTAAAATATAGATCACAAGACTCAAGTGAAGCTAGAAATACCTTTAATGTTTCAAAAAGCTTTTTAAATTAAAATTAGAAATGTAATTTACAATGGTAATGTTGTGCTAATAACATACAGGGAATTCCCTTAGTAACCTAGCTATATCATATACAGTATTCCCATAAATGGAGAAAACAATGTTATATAAACAACGCAGTTAACACAGAAATCATCAACATCGCAATTATATGTTGACAATTCTGTATTCCAACCCAAATTGATTTTCTATTTTGCCAAAACCATCAGATATGTAGGGAATTCACTAAACATATTTTATATGTGCAACATACATATTCTTCAAAGGTTTTAATATTCAAATCATTTCATTTATTCGACATGGGAGTCCCAAGGAGAGTAAGTCTAGTGTACAGCATAGTCCCGAAAAAATGATGTTGTAATATTTACAATTCAGAAAGCTTACTGTATCCGAGCGCATCATTTAACCAGATAACTCAACTGAGAATTCTCATTTATAAAGACGATCTGGACAATACCGATTTATATAATTTTGCTATATTCTGTAGTGGGTCAGCATGTGTAAATTACTATACCTTGCTCAAGGGTACAATCGCAGTGCTCCAAATTTTTCACATTAAAAAAGATGCAATTTTATTTAATAGCTAATCAAATAATCTTGATTCCATAGAAGTACATTTCTACAATTGATTTTTTAACTTCTAAACATTAAAGCAGTGGCGTTGCACAACAGTATATCAGAAAGCTTCAAAGGAGTCAAGTACAAAAGAAAACTGTTTAAGCTGTGGAATCTTCTTCAGGCATGAGGGTTCAAGCCCTATGTTAATACCATAGGGCTTGAATCATACCCTATTCCTCAGCTATAATAAAATAATAATAAACTTTATTTTACATAGTACCTTTAAAAGTGGCTACTCAGAGTGCTTTACAGAACAAAACAAATGCACAGTGAGAGGAGACAGTTCTTCTGAAACCTAAAGACTGCAGTTCAAATATTTTATTTTCTTTCTGCTTTACTTTTCCTCTTGGAATGAACTCTGCTTGTTCCTTGATTTACTTTTCAATGTGCTAACACATTTTCACATCTGAAAAAACTAAATTAAAACAAAAATCGATCAAGACAGATATGGACATCATGACACATTGCAAAAAAAAAGTTTATTTTTAAAATGACTTTTTCAGACTTCAGAAGATTTCTCTGGAGTTTTGCTTGATGCTGCTGTGATGTTCAGTTCCTGGAGCTTCTCGGTTAAAGATTCAGCGGTAGTCTCTGTGGAGTCTGAGAGGGGCTCCAAAAACAGGCTTCCAGCAACCTGCTTCCCAGTGAGTGGGTCTATAACCTTCCCAACCTTATACACAACTTCTGCAAGTTCATGCTTAACGTGTTTTGACTTTTTCTCAGGCAGTGCCTTCAAAAGAACCACGTCTCCAACAGTGCACTGTTCCAGAGCGTCGTGTGCAAAATAAGTCTTCCTTTTGTTGTAGAACTGTGAATGACATGATATACCATAAACCTGATGTTAAAAATTGGACATTTTGAAGCAGCACAGTTTATGAACTGTTATGAACTGTCAATGCAAGTTCTTTACAATACCAGAATTTGTACATCATTATTTAGAATTATATCCACTAGTTTAACTTAATTCACATTAAATCCACATCTAATCAACTCTGTAATCTGTTTTTTTTTTGTTTGTACATTCATTCTTTTTCTACACATTTAAAACAATATCCCTGCATTTGCTAAACTGAGACTGGCATATATAGATAGAACATTTTTATCTTGTAGACATCAGATTTTTTGCGATAGTTGTCGCCAAAATCAAACAGATTCAAATATATAATATTTACCTTCATCAGATACCGATCCAATACAAGTCTTGTCACTCGAACTTTTGCGGTTTTCTGCATTTTGGTTCCGATCACCTTGCCTATTATCCATCTGGCGTGGACTGAGGCTTGTTTTGCAGACATTCTGACAGCTTTCAAAACCTTACGGAAAAGTAAAATCAGCAAAAGGTCAAAACCATCGCGGATCTTAAAGGTCTTTATTGTACGAAAACTGAAAATTACCAGCAGCAAAACGATACCTTCGCCTACACTGACACTTTTTTATAATAAAAAACAACTTTTTGCACTATTGTTGTATCACATACATAATAGAATAACGAATGTAAGCGCGTTTTAAGCATTTCACTATAATATAGCAAATGTATAATCTAAATTTGATAAATCTACAGGTGATTTAGATTAAGCTAATGCTTAACTCTGAATAAAAATATCTTGCAAAAGATATACATTTTTAATCTATTGCAAAATTAGCTCGCGTAAACAAAGTGTATTATAGCAAGCACATGTTCAAAATTAGAAGACAATGATCTATTTTAAGACACTGACAAAATGTCTCCCAGATACGGAACTTCTTACCCTAAAATGTAAGACAGAGTATTAGCAAAAATACGAAAATCGATTAAACTATGAAGGTCAGGAATTCGGAAATCTCTTTCTCCATGCCTTCTGTGATAAAGCGGCGCATTATGATGACGCCATAAACAGAAACTACGGCACCTCGGAAGGGGAAAGGCGACACTTGAACAATGTCAAAACAAAACCGAGATTTGTATGCAGACGCATAGCATAAATACGCGGTATGGGACATTATATCATGTTCATACAGCAACATCATAACTTTAAAATGCAATGGCGGTGGAATGCAATCAGGTCATACACATCCACATAGAATACTAATACTTTAAAAACACTTCAGGTGTTACTAAATATGATGGATAAAGTTTGCAACAATACGATTTTAACGTAGCGATTAATAAAAAACGTGAGAAATACAGTCTAGCCTGGTAAAAAAAAAATCTCTATCGCATAGGGTCAAACCTCAGTGATATCTCTATTGCTTTGAAAAAATCAAGCAGTTTTAAAAAAAAAACAGCTGCCTGCTGTTCATTCTCTCACCTGTAGAGTGAAACAAAGCCTCTTTATCGAAACTCGTGAAGTTAATCGTTGTTACTCTATTTAAAAATAAGTTTTAAAAAATACTGAGAGATTTGGTTAAAACTTTTACTTTTATTTCCCAGAAATGGGAGTTTCGGAGAACTTTTTTGTTATTGGTCTTATTTCGTTAATATTCATCGCTTAAGGGTAAGACCTAGGCGTTGAGTACAAGCGAGCCATTCGATTTTTGCTCCGCTCGGACAGGATACGTGCTTGGACTTTTTTCCGAGGACTTGGCCTTGTGTTGTTGATCTACCGAAAAGGTATATATAAACAGAAAATAATGTACTCATTTGAACCTCTAGACAGTTTTTCTAAGATATAATAAGGCTTTTGATATTGAAGTTTGTGTTTGCTTAAAAAGTTGTAGCATATGGTCAAAATAGATTGTCTCAGTATAGTTGTTTTGATTAGTACAGTTTGGGCTGCTTTGAGTTTGTGTTTCTAATGTTGACACGTTTTTAATACAGCTGTGTTTACGAACTCCTGTTTTAAAGTTTGGCAAGAAAGACCAACTTGTTTAAGAAATATAAAAGTAAGAAATGAAAAAAGAACCAGTCGAACGATTAAAATCTTTTCTGGTCGTTAAAAACGAACAGGAGTAATACAGCCGAAAGCAGGCAGTTAAATTGTGTAGTCTTAATATCCTTCAAACAGGTTTTAATGCAAGGGTATTTCTTAAAAGAAAATGCACGATTTTATTTGTATTGTAAGTGTTTATATTCCTGTTGTTTCTATATTTTATGAACAAATATAACACTAAGTTTTAAGTTTATTAGTACTAATATTTAACAACAACCAACGTGTTTTTATTAATCGCTTTTTTCAGGTGGCACATAATCCAAACATGTCGATCTTGGGCTTAAAGAAGAAACAACCAAAGACTTTTAAAGTCAAAGTTATCACCATGGATGCAGAGATGGAATTCAGTTGTGAGGTACAGTATATACATAATGCCAACATTTGATCATTTGCAAGTATCGGTAACATTGTTAGTTTAATTGCGTCCCATCAGTTCATAGCACACATTGATTTGTGTGAAGGCCTTTCACAGTATGCAGGAGTTCTTTCATTTTGAGAGAGGTAGCGTATTGTTCTACACAAGCAAAAGAAAAAGATGAGGTGGTATCATCTTTCACTCCTCATAACGTGTTTTCTGTGTTAATGATGATTTTGGACTTTTTTAAGACTCATTCCTTGGTACAGAATACTAAATTCCAGCATTGATTTATTATTTGTGTCCTTTGCAGGTGAAGTGGAAAGGGAAAGATTTGTTTGATCTGGTGTGCCGGACTATTGGCCTGAGAGAGACCTGGTTTTTTGGGCTTAGGTATACATTAAAGGATACCTATGCATGGCTAAAACCAGAGAAACGGGTGGGTTCTTGTTATTTAATGGTTTTATGAGAGAGTGATATGGAAAAACAGACTCCATACACATCCTGCTAATAACTTTACAGTGCATCATGAAAAGAACTGTAGAGCAATAGTAGTTTAAAAAATGCAAGATTTAAAGGTGTTTGGTTGGGAGCAATTCTTATAACTTTGGCGAAAATTTGAAAATCAGTTTCCAACAACAAAAACTTTAAAGAAACTCAATTGCAGAGAAAGTGTTTAATGGGATTGGAAACCATCAAATAATTTAGATATTTTTCCCAGCCTTCCTATAGAAATAAAGCAAATGTAAAATGAACCTAACGCATATATTGACAGCACCTCCATAAAGTGCAGTAATAATAAATCATTTTTTTTTTGTTGCTAGCCTAGTTTCCTTATTTTTAAGTAGCTTGTATAGAAGAAGCCTATTGTTTTTGGTGCACTGTAAAACAGAAGAGCAATTCTCAGCTGTGAATTTACTCATTAATTGTCTTTCATTTCTTTTGTAAAATAAAATTCTGGGGACTGGGATTATAAACCACTCAGTAGATCCAGCACTTGAGCTATGAATTCTCAATTGATTTACTTCATTGTTTATCAGGGTTTTGTGTTCTTGCATCATAAGCATTAAGACCTAAAGATAAGACAGTTCTTCTCATTAAATATATGCTTTCCCCTCTAGGTTTTGGATCAAGATGTTCCAAAAGAGTTCCCAATTACCTTTCACTTCCTGGCCAAGTTTTTTCCGGAGAAAGTGGAGGAGGAACTTGTTCAGGAAATCACCCAGCACCTCTTCTTCCTGCAGGTTGGAATGATATCCTGTCTGTTTTACCTGCATCCTTTTGCTCATTCTTTCAAGTTATAATTCACATCCTGACGTGCTTTAGACACTATGTGTGCATAAATACTGCACTTTAAAGGGCGTGTTCACTGTGCACCTAATGCAATGGGGATCCCATCTAATGTGAAATCATTTTTAAATACCAGACCACTGGTTTAGAGCAACAAATGGCATATGAGTTGAAACTAACCCTTTTAATGCAGCGAATATAGTTTTGTGGCAGAATTGTGATGGTGTTCTCATGAATATTCAAAAGCTAGCACAATGCTGGTTTCACAGACCACAGTGAACTAAAACTGGATAAGAACCTTTTTTCTCTAAAATACACTCAGTCCAGATGGTGCAGATTAGTCTTACCATTTTGAATGCTAAATTCACGTTCCTGTTTGATGTCTTCAGGTTAAGAAGCAGATATTAGATGAGGAAATCTTCTGTTCTCCAGAAGCCTCTGTGCTATTGGCATCCTACGCAGTTCAAGCAAAGGTGAGTCACAAAGCAGATCAGTGTGGAGTCGTACATTGCCTGGTTTTGCATGTTTTACTTAAAATGTGTACTATTAAGGTGTATAACAATGGTGAGCTTCTGCTGTTTGTTGTGCCCAAATGTAATGTTTACTGATTTCGTATTGTATGTAATGGAGAAAAAGTAATTTCCAATGTTTGTGTGTTAAACACAAATCATTTAAAATAGGTGGGTTAAGTTGGTATTGTAATGATTCAGAAAGTTTCAAGGGGTAATGGAACATATCCCTAATGGGTGACCTCTTTCTTGAGGTTTGAGTTTATTGAGCCTCACCAATTTAAAAGCAGTAAGAGGTATAAAACTGTTTGCATAAAATAGGGTTGACTGCACATACCATCACGGCATACCAGTCTTAAGACACAAGTGCTATTTAGCATAATTAAACATTTCTGGATCTTTTCTTTTCAGTACGGAGATTATGACCCAAACTTCCACAAGCCAGGGTTTTTGGCACAAGATGAGCTGTTACCTAAGCGAGTAAGTATGAGCAAGAGCACCGGTTGGCAGGGCAGACAGTTTTTTTCTAATTCGTTTTTTGGCCCTGCTAAGTCAAGTAGTTGAAAAAATTATCATCCAAAAATGCCTTAAGAGGTTTTCTGTAATATCGCCAACCACAATTTATACACATTTAATTTTTTTCTTCACTTTGGTCTAGATTTACAGGTTACAAATGATGCATTTACTGATGATTTTTCAGTGCATGAAAAGCAGGTGGGAAAGATAAAAACTAAAACTATCTGGTTTTGGTATACATCTCTTTTCCTGATGTTAAGGGTTGCAATATTCTTTTCATAAATGACCAAGGGAGTGTTAAAAAATGTGGGATGAGTAAAATTAATGATGCTGTGGTGAGACTTTTTAACGTTGAGAGCCTTGTGCATTCCAGTTGTGACCTTGTGTGTTAAAGATAGATTACAGTTCATTATTGTTATGCAAACTTTGTGCAAACAACACACAGGTTCTGATGCAGTATCAGATGACACCAGACATGTGGGAAGAGAAAATAACTGCTTGGTATGCAGAACACAGAGGAATCCCCAGGTAAGAGTGTCATTTCTAAAATGTTATTTTAGTTTATTACAAAAATCTTTTATTTTGTATTGCTGTCCACCTTAAAAAAAAATTGAATTGTGGGAAAGCATGTTCTCAGTAGGTTAGACAAATCTATAGTGCAGTATTAGTGTAATTTTTCTTTAGTTTGGAAATAAGCTATCAAAGATACTCCTGTGCTTAGGGTTAAAATGGAAAAAAATATTAAAGGGATAGAACCGTTTTATAATTGCTTTGAGGGGGCTCAGGAAATTTAAATGACTTACAGGACGTTTTTTTTCTTTTTAGGGATGAAGCTGAAATGGATTATTTAAAAATAGCTCAGGATCTTGAGATGTATGGAGTCAGTTACTTTTCAATCACAGTAAGTCTCTGCTTATTGATGCACTCTTGTTGCAAAGACGGACATCTCTGACCCTCAATGTGTGGATGGTCGTGTTCTGAATTTACTTAGATTAAACCGTTCCTATTGCTGAGATTTTTCACTTTCCTTTAAGGAGGTAGACCGTAGTTTATAACTATTTTATACTATTGTTACTATTTTTCAAATAGTTTTTTTATATATATATTTCTGCAGTAGTATAAAAAATGCAGCAGATGCTACACTTGTTAGACATGAAAAAGATGTAATTATTTTTTCACAGTTCTGAAAACACAAGGAATTTACATGAAAATATGAAATATTTCATAGCATACTCTTAAATACATGGAAACACATGAACACAATATGCATTTTATAATTATTATTTCTATCTTCAGATGAAATCTGACATACTGTGTCATATAATGTATGTGATTATATAAGACTATATACATATATAAGACTGTATATTATATAAGATTATATTTAATTATTTTGCACATATGAATGATCTGCATCTGTATAAGGTACATAGTGTTGTGTTGTAAAAGCATAGTCTAATAGGTGGATAAACTATGAGGATTTGTCTGAAGGCTTTACATTTTTTGTTAACATATAGCAAAACAAAAAGGACACTGAATTGTTGCTTGGAGTTGATGCCCAAGGTCTTCATATATACAACCCCAACAGCAAACTGAATCCCAACAAGTCCTTCCCTTGGAGTGGAATCAGAAACATATCGTACAGTGAAAAGGAGGTGAGATAAATCATGTAGGTTTATATGATAAGGCCTACAAAAGACTTATACTGGGATTTTTGCTTTATATACATTTCTTGAAAACCGCATGTACTGTTTTTATTTTTCATTTTTTCCCCTCTATCTTGTAGTTCACAATAAAACCATTGGACAAAAAGAAAGAGGTTTTCAAATTCTACTCCTCCCAGCTCCGAGTCAACAAACTGGTATGTGTCTAAAAACACAAGTAGTCTAATATTCAGACTCCTTTCCAGGCCACAAAGTGTGAGTCTCGTCATCTGATTTGATCTCACCCAGATCTTGCAGCTGTGCATTGGAAACCATGACCTGTTTATGAGGAGGAGAAAGGTGGACTCCATCGAGGTCCAGCAGATGAAAGCACAAGCCAAAGAAGAGAAGGCAAGAAAGAAGGTGGGAGTTTGGTGTCTGGTATTAAATGTTTGGGTCCAGATATGTTTCATTAGTCATTTGTTGAATATACATTTTTAAACGCACATTATAGACCAATACTGTGACAGCTTGGTTTAACATAAAAAGTAGCCACTAAATTTTTAGTCTTTACACATATCTTGGGTTTAAAATCTTGATGTGTCCAGCAGAGCAGTTAAGACCAGTAAATAGAGTTGGTTGTAAAGGGGAAGTGCAATGCTATTTTCATATATCCAATAGAAATATTGCTTTCGATTTTGAGATGGTTTTGCCAACAAATGCTACTTGTTAACTCTGCTTGCAGATCACGTTGTAACATTTCTGCAATGTCTGCTCCACAACCCATACTTATTTGCTTGTATGTCTCATTACATTAGTCATTACGAAAACTACTGAGCAGGAAGGGCCGTATCTTGTCGCAGTTTGTGGGAACTTGAATGCGAGTTTGCGACAACATGGCAACTTACAGTACTTTCACAAAGTTCATGATTGTGTGCTTAATTAGAAATGTATCATTTTTTTCTATAACGTCAATTAAATTGTTTTCTTTCCGAGGTTTAATAACCGGGCTGAGAAATTGGGAAATTGTGACAGTCCCCCTTTAATTGTGGTATTAAAAACCTGATGGAGATAAGTACGCCTGACTACTGAAGTTTGCATGATCCCTACGATCTGCCCCTCGTCCGCATGTTTCCTTGAATAGATGGAGCGGCAGATCTTGGCTCGGGAGAAGCAGATGAGGGAGGAGGCAGAGAGGGCGAAGGAGGAGATGGAGAGGCGGCTGTTCCAGATCCAGGACGAGGCGCGTTTGGCGAACGAAGCGCTGGTGAGTTCGGCAGTGATGCTCTGCACGGCAGGCGGGGCTTGGGCTTCTGACCCCGACATATTGACACAGGCCCGATCTCATCTGCAGATCCGCTCCGAGGAAACGGCAGACCTTCTAGCGGAGAAGGCGCAGATAGCCGAGGAAGAAGCCAAGCTTCTGGCGCACAAGGCTGCTGAGGCCGAGCAGGAGAGGCAGAGGCTGGAGGTCACAGCTTTGAAGACCAAGGAGGAGAAGAGGCTCATGGAACAGAAGATGAGGGAGGCAGAGCTGCTTGCAGTCAAGCTTGTTGAAGAGTCTGAGCGAAGGTTATCTAGATCCTGACATCTTCTCAGCATTATGTATTACATATTGGATATGAGCACATTTTATTGAACTGATAGTCATCTAGTATAGAGATGTGATTTCAATTATTTTGGGATATAGACCTGACCTTCTTGTTCAAAATGTTTACTAAATCCATTTTATCTATCTCCTAGATCGAAGGAAGCAGATCACCTCAAACAAGATCTGAATGAGGCAAAAGATGCTGAACGAAGAGCCAAGCAGAAGCTGCTAGACATTACTAAAACAACCTATCCTGTAGGAGTCCTTGATTTCATTTCTATAAAAGATTATGTGCAAGTGGTTTGATCAACATAAATCATTAAAAGATTCAAACAACATCTATCTCAAAATAAAAAAATATTTCTTTAATGATCTTAATGTCTCCTCTACAGAATTACTTAGTATGTCTTTAACTATCCAATTCTTTGTCCAAGGATTCAGTTTGTACAAGCTCAGCAATCGGACAGGCCGAAATTCCTAGGAGTTTCCTCCTTCATTTTTCTGACTTGTCTTGATGAGGATATATTTGGTCATCATATCAAATTCTTTCCTCCTTAATAATGGCTCTGTATCTCATTTCTATCCTGTTTTGAGGAGGTGGATTGTGGTGTCATGACCTCCTCTTTCTTATTTCTGTAAACCGTAAGTGAGGAATTATTAATTAGGCCAGAATATGGGGTTAAATTTATATTGTGTCATCACAAACTCAGATTTAAACTTTGATTTTGTCGGATGTTTTTAACGCGATATTCTAACATAGCAATTGTTTTTTCCTGTGGCCTATGATTCTTCTGGCTTTGTTTCAGCTTATAGCGGCATACTCCAGTCCCCCTCTACCTCTTCCTGCCGATGGTGGTGGTCTCAATCTGGAGACAGGATCCATCAGGATCGATTTCAAAGACACAGATATGAAACGGTTGTCTATGGAGATTGAGAGAGAAAGGTATGGGCCTTTGTTCCAGATGGATTACGAATGATCACATAACTAGGAATTGTCTCTTTTCAGTTTTTGAAAGTTTTCTGAGATTTATCTTTCCTCTGGACTAAATGTTTCTTGGAAAAAACAAAACTGTTTTAAAAAAAGACATAAATGTGCATCCAGATTTCTTGTGTGGAAAATTATTTCACATGATTTCACAAAATGATATATGATGGTCCTTAGACATTCTGTAACCTGTTGAATTTAGTGACGGAGATAATCTTTGTCCTGGCACTGGCTCTCATAAAGGTTCCCTGGGATCAAAGTAAAGCAATACTGCATACAGTAGGTTATTTTCTCTTTCTGAAGGGCAGTGCGATTTCTTGGTTGCAGGCTGGAGTATATGGAGAAGAGCAAACACCTTCAGGACCAGCTGAAGGAACTGAAATCCGAAATTGAATCCCTGAAGCTGGAAGAACAGCAAGCTGGGATTTTCTCTCATCGTGGAGAGACCAGGGCGTGTCCTGAACCTGCCTATCTTCCCCAAAGTACTGTAAGTGCTGCTGCTGTAATGCACACTATCCTTGGTTCAAAACTCCATCTTTATCATGACCCTGAAAACAGATTGAGGTTTGTATCATGAGCTATCTCATGCAGAGCTGTAATCTGGAAAAAATATGAAACCTTTTTTTAAAATTGTTAGCTCCTCATCCACTTCAGCCATGACTGATAGGCTTGAATCCTGACACTGATTATTTTTTGTAGCCTGTACACCAGACAGAGTTTTGGGATTCAACAATCAGTTTCTACCTGTTTTCATCATTTTGGGACATGGATTTTAATAAGTCTGTGATACGACTGAAGAATTTAAAAGAGTAAATGTAGTTTTAAATATAAATGCTGCATGTTTATTTTCTAGTTACTGTTAAAACACACTTGTTAGTGAACTGAAAAAGAACCTCTTGTAATAACTGCATGAATCATGTTCTTCAACCTGTGTTGAATTTAAATGATGTCGGAATGAGTACGACTGAGTTCCTGGTTTGTAATTTTTGTGTACTGGTTTGTTGCTTTGACTTTAGGTCGGGCACTATGATTCAGAAGTTATCTACATTTGAAAACCCCAGGGAAGATTATGGGACAAAAACCTTATTGAGGTGATAAGCCATGCTCTGTGTTCAGTGCTATATAAATGGTGGCTGCTTTGAGAATAAGCTCCTATGCAAAGTTTTCCCAAAAAATAATAGTTATCCTACTGTATAAGCAGCAAAGCAGTTACTGAACTACAGTCTGCTTATATTTTCACATTTATTTTGGAAAGAGATAATTAAGGATAAAGTGTTCCTCAAAATAAGAGAGGAGGATTTGGCCTGGAATTTGCAATATTAAAATAAACTGTCATTTCTTAATTCCATGGTTTCAAGCTGAAACAAAATCAAACATAATGCTTGAGATCCAGATTTACAACGTGTTACCAGTTTAAATGCACAAAGACTGTCACTGCCGTCAGGTAAAAAAAAAAGTAAGGTCACAAATGTTTGTTTAAAGTTAATTGTCAATCTAACAAACTGCCCCCATAGAATTAATTAATATTTCTAAACTGACTCATGGATGTTTGAGTATAGAAATTCCTTAAATCCTGCTAAATTAAAATGGTGGTAGCTAGATAACCTACACAGGGCTTTCCAAGTGCTCACTAACTGACTTAAGACTTAATTGCAGAGGAACTGTAAGAGCACATTTAAAAAATACTCTAGACAGTCTGCATCGTGGAAATGGCAGGAGCTTGGTTTTTGTCTGCGGGCTGTGGTATATTAACTGCTTTAAAGCAATTTGGAGAGGTTGCCGCTGCAGAAGATGTATTGTCTTTGTGCAAAAGTGCCGTTTGGGGCTGGGATGTGTGTTAATTAGCTGCAGTTTAGGGTGGCGCTTTGCAGCAAGCCTAACATTTGCTGTGCTTCCTGCTTGCTCATCAGTGTTGCCATCGTAAGTGATGCTCAGTTTAACGAAACCTCACAAAGAAAACGTTAGTGCCTGTCATTATTTATAACAGTATAATATATTTTATATGTAATCTTGAGTGACCAGCCATTTGTTTTTTTTTTCCTTTTCAAAGATATTTTTTAGACTTAAGACTGAGCAGTGCTTCACCCTTTTCTCTCTCAAGGATGGCTTGCTTCTGAGGCTGCTAAGGTGTTTTGGTGTTAGGAATTTTAGTTACCATTCCAACCTTATCACGGGAGACTCTTGTCAGAAGAATTCAGCCTGATCTCAGCAGGGACCTGGGATACGATCTGAATTGATCGGAGACGTGAATGTTTATGAATTGTTGTTCCGGTTAAAATTAAGTCTCTGAGCCATATTCATCAAGGTTTTTGCACCAGTTGTGTTTTTTGACCACGTCTATTAGAGAGGAAAATGAAAAATCATTTTTGTGCAAAAATGAATGTTTCCTGACCATTGATCACAACCATGTACTTTGAAGCAAAAGCCTCATTGAATATGGCCACTCGTCATTCATCATGGTCTTATTCACTCACAATCCAGACCTCCCCTGACTAGATTTTTTTCCAGATTCCAGTTACATTGTTGCACTCAGTGCCAAAATGCTGATACCACATGAGATTCACATGTAGTTTTATTGTATTATTGGAGGGGTCATTAAAATGGGCGAAGAGCATTACTAAAACTTGGCTTATTTTAGAAAAACCTGTTTAATGTGCCAAATAATTGCTTTATTTGGCACGTTAAGAGAAGAGCTAACTTGATTCCAAAGGCACTGAGTTTTCATTGCAGGTTTGGATGAGGTTTACTAGAGCATATATGCAATCCATTAAAGCAATAACAGTAAATATGTTTTCTTTTTCAGCGCAACTCATCCTATATGGCTCAAATGTCCTTCTTGGAGGAGGTCTAAAAACACATTAAATGGACTTGTGGGACATAGTGCAGTCAGAAGCTCTATATTATAATTATATGGAGGATTTGCATAAACATTAACTGACACTGACCATTGAGAAAAGTTGAATATGCATTTCTTGTATTTAATTTTTTATAAAAGGAAAGCCCAGCTAGACTGGGTTAATCTAGTAACTTTTCATTTTGTTTACCACTACACTGTACAAGCAGATGATTTTTGCTGATTTGTCCTCATTATGTTACTGTATTGGGAACATTTCCAAGCTATTATTCCAGACACTAAAATGTGTGTGTGTGAACACAAGTGGAGTTTCTAAATAGTTTTCAAGAAAATGTTTTTATCTTTGACATATAGTAACCATGCATTCTCCTTTTCAAGAATCTAGATTATTATTGGCTCAGAGATATTCACATGTATGATTAGTTGATAGCCATTGCTTTACCAGATCAAATGTACATTTGTTACGAGTTGTTCCTTTTTAACAAAGGCTCAGCTGAAGATTGAATTCGGTTAAGTAGGCTGTTATCAGTTCTGCGAGCTGGGCAACACTGCCCTCTAGAGCCCATTAAAGACCGTTCCAGTACATGCTGGTCTGGATCCAGTGCTTTACTTCAACCACGAATTGTTCATTGCTTTCACGTCTTCCCATGCACATGCTACTATAAAAAAAAAAAAGGTTTTAAAGCTTATTTTCTCACTTTCATTTTATTTTAATGAATGATGTGTTATCTTTATAGGTCTTTAACTTTCAGTTTGCGCTGCAATCTGTTTGATCATAGAAGGGATGTAAGTGAGCAGTCCTTTTTGTAATGTTCACACAACATGGAAAACTTTAATGTAGGACAAGTGGGCATGGGTTAAGCATATGTCAAACTGGGATGTTAATATGTAGCTAGCACACAACTGTCATGCAACTGGGATAAAACAGCTTTTCAGTTGACATAATAGCAGGGCTTAACAAGGGGCAAACAATTAAATCCCCATGTACTCAGGATTGAGATCAAATTCCAGTTTTCACCAGGTATTTTTTTAAAACATGCATAAGTAGTAGAACTGAAGAGTGAGTTGTTTGAATTATTTTGCTGTTGTATGGGTGTATGGACCATAGAGTCCAGTCAGTGTTTGTATATGACCTTAGTTTCCCACACACTACTACTTCTCCTATGCATTCCCATATTTATTATATTTATGTTTTCCACAACTACACTTTTTTTGAAATGTCACTTTAAAAATTCATGTTTTAATGAATAACAACTTCATGTTAGCATAGGCTGAGAAAGTACCTCACGGGCTTTACAATGTACTTTAATGCTCTTTTTCTGAAAGACTTATTGCTGCATATTTTCTTGAAGAACAGATTTTAAACACTTTATTGGTCTTAATGAACATGACATCATTACAGGGAGCTGTACCACACCACCTATTTGTGACTAGGCATTTTTTCTTGTTTGGTTTCTTTTACAGAATATGTAAAAAGGAGCACTGCCCAATATCATGTGATCTACTTTTGTTTTGTTCAAATAAAATGTGCCTTAAAGTTACACGGAGTTGTGATTGTGTTCCAATGTTCCACAGAGTTTTTCAGATCAGTCCGATGCTTTCACCGAAGAAGATCTATAGCTCCTTTTAAGATACCTGGTTATTTAATCAAATCCAGTAAGATTGTAAAATGATACCATTGCCTATAGACCTTTTAGTGTACATTCATATTGGTTACCTCTCAGGTTGGTAATTATGTGTATATTTAGGTGGCAGAAAAGACCATACTCTGCAAGATTGTTTTAAACATTTTATTTAAGGTTTGAAAGGTTTAAATATTTATAAGTGTTTCTGATATGAACTGAAAACAGACTGTTTTACTCTTTTATTGGTTAGCACTACCAGAAAAGATACAAGGGTATTTATGGGCTTGTTTAGTACCCTGCCCAGTAGTTGGGAACAACAATGCACTGATTTGTGAAGAGGAATAATCCTGCTATCGGATTTGGAGAAAACATTAGGTTGATGCAAAACACTTCACCACAGCACCTATTTTAATCAGAACTATGTGACCTCGCATTACAGCTGGTTCATTAAGAAACTGAGGTTGGGGAAGAACTGGTGAGTTGAATTAGTTTCATTTAAGTGCCTTTACTGTGATGTAAAAGTATATCAAGGCCTACAGTACTTCAGCATTCTTCATAATGAGGCATGTGCTATCACATGCTAAAAGCAAATATATCCACAGTATAATAAGAGGACATTAGTTCAAACATTAAAGGTACTTAGATGTAAGATCATCAGCACTGAAAACAATGGTCATCACTCAAATACTTATCTAGATGTCAGTTGTGTTTTTGACCTTATCATCACACACCATTCCAGATTTTACCAAATTCCATACACTGTACTAATTTATACTCAAGTTGAAAAGTCTGAAGAAAACTTAACAAAAAATAATCTTAAGATCCAATATGAACATTTGTAATAAACATCTTTTGAAAATTACTTTCAAAGGGCTTTTCATTTGAAATGCAGCAATAATATATTCATTCATATAAAATAGATTTCTGTATATTTTCAGTTTAATAGGAGCTCAGTTTTTACAGCTACTCTAGCTCAAGGGAGCTGGAGGCTTGGAGTTGTCGACTTGTCTACTCAAATTTTTCATCTCCTTCTTCCACGTCCTTCAGACTGAGCACCTCCAGGGTACCTTTGCCCTTGGTGTCACAGCGGATCAGCTCGTCAATCTCTCGGAAACAGCCCGGGTCAATCAGGCACACCTGTGGGGTGGAACATGATTCAGATATTATGCGAGTCACCTTATACTACTGGACTAGAGACATCTGTTGGTTTTTGTGGTAGAATGCAACTGCCATAGAGTCTTCACAAACAGCAGATGACAGTGTTATTTTCTGGATGCTTAAAGATATCCTTATTCTCTTGGTGTATATATCACTTTTCAGCTCATGCGAAGAATTTCATTTTTCTTCCTGTTAGGAAGGCCTAATTGTGCAAATGACTGCACCTGTGATAATCACAGATTCCAAAGTGCGGTGTGTTTGTCCTGTTGGTTTCTAATTTATTTTGGTTATACTTCAATTGTAACTTATGCAGTCTGAATTTCACAAAACCATGCATATCAGACTATGGGACCTCACAATGTCTCAGTTTATTTAGTCATTTACTATCTTTAATGTATCTTAATTTTTTTTGCTCTTACCATTTCCAGCTGCTCATCAAAGTCTTCACTCTCAATCACCTTAATGAGGGGCTTGAGTTTCTCTTTCAGCTTCTTGCCCTCCTTGGCTGGCAGGATAAAGCGCAGCCTCATGTGAGCTCGCTGGATCTGCATGGACTCTTTCAGCTGCCTAATTACCTCCAGGGCCTGAAAGGGGAAGAGTCACCCTTAGGAAGAAAAAGCTCAGCAGAGACAAAACCTGTGGGTCCTGAGGATAGAATGGCTTTGTGTGCAATTCTGTTCGTTTAAAAAACTGATTTTATGAAGAAATATGAAGACCTCCTTGTGAAATGTACCTGGGCCCTTTCAGCTCTCTCGGAGAGCTTTAAATGAATGACGGATGGGAATAGGGGAAATTCATCTAGATGTGAGGTGAAGGTTGAATTTAATACAGCATTCAATAAACAGGTGTAATTATTACAAGCTGCGCTGTTACACCCGAGAGTACAGGAGGGTGGAAGATTTTTTAAATTTGTAATAAATGGAATACCACAGCTAATATTATTGTAGTTGAAATAGAGGAAACCAGCAATTGAGGTATGATGGAGTTTGTACAGTCTCCCCGTGTTTGCATGGGTGTGTGTGCCCCGTGATGGACTGGTGTCGAGGGCTGACCCGCCTGCGCCTGTTGCTTGCCGAGATAAGACTCCGGCTCCTCCGCAACTCCACGTATTGGAAAAAGCGGATAGATGGACGCACAGCAACCAAAAGAAGAGGTAAAGAATCCCGAATTTTGGCAGTGGAATGCCAAAGAAAGCAACTGTCACCTGCTGCTTGGTGCTCTTGTTGGCTTTGACGGAGTAGTGGATGTCCTTCATCGCTCGTTCGATCAGGATCACTGTGTAGGGTCGCTTGGTCTCTGGGTTCACACATTTCTCCGCCACTATAGTTGCAATATCCCTGAACATCTGCTCCAGCTGACTGTGACGTTCCTTATCTGAAACCTGCAGCTCACCTTTGGCCAGAATCTTAAAAAGACAGAACAGCTTGATCATTCAATCCCCAGTAATCACCTGCTTTGAAAGAAAGCGGTTTTCTGCATGAAATGACATTATTCATTCATTTTAATTAAAATTCCCACACATCTTTGCCTGTGGGAGAAATCACTAGACTGATTTCTGGACCTGAACAATTCAGATGGAGGGGCTCAAAGTTGACTTGTTTTGTATCCCCTACCCTATGATAAGATACACATATCCTCATAATTAATTAACGGGTGATTTTTATATAATTCTAAAGACAATAAACAAGATTGTGAAAATTTTAGAATTTGGTCTTTTGACCTAAGTTTCAAAATGCATAAATTTGATTTTAATTCATTCTTATGTACGTCATAGTTTAGAGTATACTCTGGTTTACACCTCTTGGAGGTTTTTGTGATGTGCCTGCTACTGGCAGAGGCACAGCATAAACTTGAATAAAGAGATGAGTCTTCCACTTGAATTCTCAATATTGCCTGGATAATGCAACACTGAGAAAACTCAAAAGTGAGGAGGTTAACAGGTGATTTATTTCATATGGACTGAAAACTGTACCGTGTCTAAAGAGCAGGAATGGATTTGTTTTATTCTTAATAAAGTGATAACTCACCTGTTTACATATCTCTGTCAGGTCATCAGTTTCAAACGCTTTTGACAGATCTTCCTTCTTTGCCACCTGACCCTTGGACACATTAACGAAAACTGTACTCGTCTGCAGAACTTCGTCAAGATCCTTCTCTCTGCAAAAAGCAAATTGTTTTAATTTTTAAAATATATTACAAATACTTGACTGAATTATCAGACGACTGAATCAGGGAAGTCTGATAATCTTTCAGTTCAGCTTAAGTTTGCTCAAGTAGTGAAAGCTGGTTGCCTGTTGCTGTTGACAATGTTTTAATGATAATATCAGTAGCTAACAAAACAAACGCGTTATTCTAAAACTATTTTTAAAATTGCATCTACGTATAAGTCTGCATCACCACACTGCCCAAAAACTGTTCAATGTACTACTGATACTAGTAAAAGCAAGTAGTGCGGACAACAGGCGCAACTGAGAAGCTTTGAGAAGCCACCTTTAAAGGCGCTATATAAAATAAAGTTTATTATTATTATTATTAACTGTCGGGATGAAAACTGAACTCCACTTTACTTAAAATAGCAGTACATTCCTATATTTACTCTAACTACTCATTAAAGGTCGGTAGTGTGGACCAGTAAGTCTTGAAAGAAATGATATGTAGCTGTGAAGTTCAATACTTACGCTCCCGATCTCCAGCTCATCACTTTATTTTTGTAGCAGGCGATCTCAAATCTTTTTCCTCCTTTTTTCATCCGCACAACGGCCACATTCGTGAGCCGAATCTGGTTTGTGGGCGTGAAAATCGACATTTTCCCGTCGTTTTATTCGTGAGCAATAACAAATCGCCTGTACTGTTTTCTTGTTCTGCGTTTACCAGTATTTACTCAGTCATCACATGAAATTCACGCCTTCCCTTTGCTTTGTCTTTCAACATATAGCTCCGAAGGGAAACGGCAGAAAACTAAAACCGTTCCGCTGGAACACCCACGAAAATTGTTATTTTTCGTATCACGTTCTCAGTCGAATGAATATAAACATCATTGATAGATTTACAATGACGTGTAAAATACCCACTACTGAGTCATATATCTAGGTAATATAGTTAACATTTTAGACGTACACGTCAAGTGGCCTGAAAAGCACCTCACACACTAATGTTTTAAATAAAGTATTTTTGAATATCCCATCATTCCTTATTTCAAACAGTATGGCTGCCCCCTTATGGAATGTGTTGGCTTGGTCTTGAATTTATGCTGCTGCACATTTTAGGTTTTGATATCGAGTATTGATTGTAGATATGATATTTTGATAACAATTTTGATAACAAAGGTTTGAAGGTTTAATGATTATGTTGCTTTGGGTTTCTCACATCTTGTGTGATCTGATTTTAGTCACGTTTGCTGCCGAAACTGAGGGTAAGTGATGACAAAGCTCGCAAAATTGGGGTGTAAATGTTAAAAGACAGAGTCCAAAACCTCGGGAAAAAATAATTTTAAATTAGTCTTTAGCCGTAAAACACCGTTGAGATAAAAATGCAACACTCTATTGAAACCTAACTACAGCTGCATTACCAGTAACTAGGTTTCGGAAAAGATCAGTCACGTGAGCATGTACCTGTCTTTTAAATCGGTGGGAACTATGTCGCTGAACATGTTTTTGATCATCTTTAAAACGCCTGTTTCCTAAACGGGAGTAAAGTTTTACATGCATTTCATAAAGTATGAAATTGAAGCCATTATTCCATACTTATTCCAAACTTTACCAAGTTATATACATTGCTGTATTTTATAGATGCAGATATTAAGTTTTAAGTTTCTGGTGGTAAGTATTTTTGAAAAGTAGTGAATAATATAGGTATAGCTAACATTAATTATATGAGCGTCTCGGGCACATCACTACTGTATTGGATGTGTGTTAGCACAGTATTGCTGTCTTTCAATTCATGAATTCAAACGGATTTGATATTTTGAAAATATGTAACCTATATGTAATAGACCTAGAAACCGAAACATATCTAAGCTGAAAAGAATTATTCCATAAGCGATTTATTAGTCTTTGTTTTTTGTGCATCTGTGTGCATCTGTGCATATTTTAAACTAATTAAAGGATGGTACAAGCATAACTTTATCTTGAATTTGTGTGGAAAAATATACTGTTTTCTAAATTTGATTTGCAGACAACTGGAAGGATGGATGGGGCTATTTTCACTCCTGTTTCATGTCAGCATGGCAGAACAGATTCTTTGTGTACTCTGTGGCAGCTGTCTGCATTGCTATCTGGTTTACTTTTCAGATGGTTATGAAGAAAGAGGTAATTGCTTTAAATTGTCAGCCAAATTGTTTTGCAGTTTTGTTTTTTTAGTATAAATAAACAGTATTGATCTGATTTATCCTTAAACATTACAACATACTGTGCTGACCTCATAAACTGTTAAACAGTAATAAAACTGTTCTCTCAGTGCTTGTTCTTTTATTTTGAACTTATAATGTTCTTGCAATTAACAGATTTATTGGCTTTTATTTAGATTGATTATATGCAAATCACCTGTTAATCAATGGTGTTAAAAAATGGAAATCACAGAGGTGACAGCGGTGATGCCATTATCTTTTTTTGGTAGCTCACCCTAACCTGGGCACACGATTGCTTGGCAATAACTGGAGCTGCATGTTAAAAAAGAAACAGAATGGTATCAAGAGCAAAGTCAAGACATGTCTGCAGTGCACTGATGAGCCCCAGTTAGGGAGAAATTAGTCTAAAAGATTTGACTGCTCGTTTATCTGTGAGGGAGCTGGGGAAAAAAAAACAATTAAGTGGAATGTCTTCTGCTCCTGTGTTTTAATTATGTTTTGCATATTCTCCATTATAAGGCTGTGTATTCATGTCTGCTATGCCGACCTCTGTAATTGAATTAACCTTTATTTGTGCATTGGGCAAAGTGCGATGCTAACTAAAAGAGAATTTGATAAATGTTTTCGATTTACTTCTGAATGCTTTGTTTATTTTTGTCTTTGTAAGAATAAAGGCGTAAGTAGCACCCTGGCTCAGAACCCCAAGAATAAAAAAGAGAAAGGGATTGTGGCTGAAAAGGTCAACAAAGTTTATGTCTCAGGGGTGAAGATATTCTATGGTTCTCAGACTGGAACAGCAAAGGTAAAAGGAATTTTGGATTCAAGTCTTATATTAAAGGCAATATTGCTTATCTTGGTAATACGGAACCACCTGAACTATCTTGGTAACATGTTACTTATATAGCTGGAATTGCTTGTAATTGTATGTTGTATGTTGAGTCCGTATTGAATTTTGTAACACTAACTTGTGTTTTTTATTTGTTACCATTGATGATTTGCTCAATTATATGGAGAACCTCTGTTTTCATTTTGTGTCATGATCTTAAGACCTGGTGTACAGCCCTGCTAAATTTATTTTTTAAAATGCATTACAAAGGAGTTTGTTAAAACATAGTAGGTGCAGTTCTTTGTTGTTGGAGAGTTGCATTTAAAATAAGACCTACAAAAACATTCCTCGGTGAAGCAAACACTGATGCTGAATTGCCATAGTTAAGAATGTACATTTTACAATGTACATTGTACATTTTAGAGTCTACAAAACCTGATGTATTTCTAAAGAACTTTAATTACTTAGATGCATGTTGACATGGAAAGGCTGAGGCAACCAATTTCACTTGCACAGCTTATCTTAGGTACATTTGCCAGTGGTTGTGTATTTTGTCAGCCCTCAAAGTCTCTAAGCCAGGCTAAAAAAAGCAGTTCTTCTAAAATTCATGACGAAAGTAATTTAGTTTCTACCCCCTAAGTAAGCTGTAGACTGGAACAGTTCAGAGCTATAACCTCACGAAAGTAGGTCAGTATATTAAAGCCCATTTTCTCTTTTATAGTAAGGTGGAAAGCTCTTTAATGGGATTCAGTGAAAGTGCTGACTGTGGGAATCTGTTTCATGTGTACAGGGCTTTGCTGAAGATCTTTCTATAGATGTGCAGTCCCTAGGCCTGCCTTCAGAAGTGATTGATGTGAAAGATTATGATCCAGATGACAGTTTGGCAGAAGAGGTGAGTGTGTAAGAGCTCTGGTGGTTAATTCTTTTCATGGTCATCAGGCTTGGGATCAGAAGAGCTTTTTGTGCTTAGTTGCTGTGCATGTGAAGTTGTGCATGACCTTCTTGACACTGTAAAACATTTTTTTGTAAAACACAATTTTTTAACATTGATTTTAAGTCAGTCTAATTGTGCCCAACTATATCCAGTTGCTAAAAGGGAGATTTGCTTGATTAAAACTGTAGTAGTTTATATGGAATCATTGTGTCCAAATGATTCTTTTATTTTTCTGTCAAACCTGTTGTTGCATTGGTAGTTGGTAATATTGCTGACTTCTTTGACGTATTCCAAAGAATACAGTTAATATGAATTGGAATAAAACTGGGAAACATTTGTTGATACACTTAATAACACAGTTATTAACTATATATCTTTGAGCCTCATCCAACTCAATTGAGCTACAAAAGGGCCCAAAGTTTGCTTTTCCTTTTCCTAGGTAGGTCTTAGTGGGTGTTGACAGCACTGTTTTTTTCTGCTGAGTACATTGCAGTAAAACACTATTTAAAATGGGGAAAATGGTTGAAAGCAGTGCCCGAGATTTTAAATTTGAAAATATATTCAACAATTCCTGCTGTGGCTTCCTAGGTGATATATTGGGAGGTTGGTCCCATGCCAGGCTATCAGATATTATTTCTGTCAATTTTAGGGTGGGCAGTATGTTACCTTTGAAATGAATTATTGATATGCTGGGGTGGCATATTTCACCCAGTTTCAAGGGATTTGTTACACTGAATGCTCAAGATGGAAAATTTTATCAAGAGCGATGACGTCTTGTAACAGCTTGACCTGGATTCTGCCAGATAGACATCAGGCTCCACAGCCAAAACGTTGTGTTTTCTTTCTTCTCTTTTCAGCATGGAATAAACCTATTACTTGTTCCTTTGCATTATACCCATTGATTCTCTGGTCGAACGTGATCAGTTATGGTGCATCACATAGAATATGCCAAGCGACCTTATCTTTTCTGTGATAATGGTGTGCAATGGAGGTTGACCTTTTTCTGCGGAAACTTGTCTTGCAGCTGAGTGTTCTAATTAGTTGACAAGGGGATGGTGCTCTGCATTACATTCCACATATGATTAAAACTCGCTGCAATTCACTACACTGCTTTTTTCCTCTCTCTCCTTGATCCTTTTTACCTAGCAAAGAGATCTGATGGCATTTTGCATCTTCACCTACAGAACCCTATTTTCTCAGCTGAACTGGCAGCCTGTTCCCTAAGCGCTGAATTTAGTTTCACTGCTATTATGCATTCACTCATGACACAGTCATTTTAATTTTTTCTGTTTCTTTTTTCCAGGCTACAAGCAAGTCAGTTTGTGTGTTTCTGTTCGCTACTTACACTGACGGTAAACCCACAGAAAATGCCCTTTGGTTTTGTAAGTGGCTGGAGGAGACATCCACGGATTTCAGATATGGGAATACCTATCTCAAAGGCATGAGATATGCAGTCTTCGGTCTGGGGAACTCTGTGTATTCCAGCCACTACAATACGGTAAAGATATAACCATTTATTTGCTGTGGCCTCGAGTACTGTTATATCTATGTATATTTAATTGAAATCTCCCTGAAATATATTTACAGATACCATAGGAAAACTAAAATTTCTCTGTGTGCAGAAACAGAGATTGAAAGATGGATGGTATGGGTGATGTTTTTTACTGTACTTTTGCTAAATATTAATTCAGTTTTATTGTTTGTTTTCTTGTGCTGAGAATGTTTTAAGAGGAAACACCCATCAAAAAGATGGAAGAAGAAACCCTCTGAAAATGAGCTGAATGTTCTTTTTGTAAAGCTGTGTCATGGCTCTGCAGCAGTCTTAAGTGTAAGGATAGAAACACACTGATTATGCCCAGTGGCTTTTCCTTGTGAAAAATAACATTTTGTTTGAACAGGGTACTTACACTAATTAGTGTATGACTCACAAATACAGTTTTTTTAAAGTGGTGTCTGGATTGTGTGAGGGCAATATTAGCGAAAAGCCACAAACAATGGGAAAGTGATTAGATAACACGGCTTAGGAGAGGCTGACAGACTATACATAGATGTAGCGTGCGCGTTAGTCAGAGTTCTCTTGAAGACTTTAAGATTGTGCTGTCTTAATTGCAGTTTGTGAGATCTGAATTATGTCATCTGGGTAGAAAGATGATTTCTTTGGTGCCCTCGAGACATGTAAATTTAAAAATCTACTTTTCTTGTTCTCCTGAGGTTGAAGTGTATAGGACGCCTGTTTAATTGCAGCGTTGGTACCTTTTGTAAACACTGTAAATAACACTACAAGAACGAATGAAAGACAGCAGGAGACAGAAATGAAAAGTTTCTGCCCTGGTGTCCCCAACCCCCCCATTCCTGCTGATGGTGTCCCTCAGGTGTGCAAGAACGTGGACAAGTGGCTGTGGATGCTAAGTGCTTCGCGCATCATGACCCGCGGGGAGGGCGACTGCAATGTGGTCAAGAGCAGGCATGGCAGCATAGAGGCCGACTTTGCTGCCTGGAAGTCCAGGTTCCTGACCCGCCTGCAGAGCCTTGCTAAGGGGGAGAAGAAGTCCTGCGGCAAGCAGTGCAAATCGGGGAGATGCAAGAACAAGCAGAAGCACCAGCAGCCCGCGGAGGAGGAATCGGAGTCCTCCCCTGGCAAAGAGGAGCAAAGCTCGGAGGTGCGTCTTCAGTCCAGTCCACTGCCGCCCAGTCCAGTCCAGTTTGTGTGTTTGTCATATGCACAGCTGCAATGAAGTGCTTATTTGCACGTAGGCTCCAATGCAAAGACGACGCCAAAAAAAAACACACCAAAAACACCAAAACAGCAACACAGCAGCAGCCACAACAACAAAGTTAAACAACATACAACGTAAATACAAGTCGGTACAAGTAGTTTGAGAAAAAAAACTCAGTCTGTTAGTGGTAGGTGGAGAGTTCAGTAATCTGACAGCTTCCGGGAAGAAACTGTCTCTGAATCTGGAGGTGCGTTTATGCTCCTATAATGCTTACCAGAGGGCAGGGGAGAGAAAAGCGAGAAACCAGGATGACTGTTATCTTTAGCAATACTTCCAGCCTTCCTGGAAGCCTTGCAGACAAACGTTATGTTAGAGGGATCAGAGGGATGGTGAGCCCGTGAGTTGTAACCACTCTTTCCTTTGCTGAAACGATCGCGTGATGTCTGATGATCCAGATTTCAGAGCTGTAGCATCGAAAACACCAAAGAAGGGTGGCCAGCAACTGTGGTCCACTGAAACAGCGTGGGAATTCTTCCAGTCAGTCAGTAAATGCCAGAACTCGTATGAACACAGTGTTCCGAGATGCTGGGGAAATGTTTGGTAGATTTCGGAATCAAAGGGGCTAGACTGCTTGTTCTGGACTTTCAAATTTCCTTCCAGGTGGAAAATTGAGTCTTTGATGTTCCTTTTACATGGGGTAATACAAGGTACCTTTTTAGTTTTTAAAAGATCCAGAGATTTCAAGCGCATTTAAAATGAACAGTGTTTAACTCTTAGGTTGCTACTTTTACTATTTAGTCACAGATTTCACATAATTTGTTATGTAAGTGTTCATTGGCACATGCTGAAATGTTTTTAAAGGTAGCAGTCGGAATTTAGAGGTTTTTGCAAAGACTGAATAGTGGTGAGTGCAGTTTTATTCTTCTGGAAATCCAGGGACGCAGTGAAGGAACTTGAGACTTCACAGTGTCTCTGTTCTTGTAGGAGGAATTGTTTGAGACCAGCAGCGAGGAAGACTTCACCCAAGATGAAGTCGCCACTCATGGACCTGTAATTGACGTGGAGGATCTGGGCCAAGTCATGAATCAAGTGAAGAAAGCCAAGGTGAGTGCTTTCTAAAAGGCAACATTTATCTTATCACCTTTAAAGTCAATTTCTTGGTGGTCAGTGTAATATGTCAAGCCAGGCCTGTAACATTTAGAAGTTCTTGATGTGTTAATTTAGTCCGCTTTATTGATATTGTGATTTCACCATTTGATATTGAAATATTGATATTTCAACATGAAAGCATTGCTGTATTTTTTAAGGTTTCTTCCACACGCATAATTGAATTACAAATTCAAATTATTTTTTTTTACTGCTTTTCTGTTCTACAAACTACAAAGGATGAGATCCCTTTTTCTGCAGTCTCTGTTTTAACAAGCCTGTTAAATAGACTCTTTGGGGATCCTGCACATGAGGAAGTGCAATCTCGAATGCGTTTACTGTACCACTACCTTAAAACTAAGCATTAGAGAAGGCAGCTAAAAGATCACAGACAATGTGGTAGACAAATCCAAACGAGGCTTTCTAGGATTTTGCAAAATTCTGAACTATGATGATGGCTGACACCCACTCAGCAAGTCTGTGTGGAGGAGTAATTCATGAAAAAATATATAGAGAAAAGCACAGTGTAATTTCTACCTTTATTGATTGAATAATCGGGACACAGAACATGCAGGCAAAGTTTCCTGGGCTTCTTCACAATTTTCCAGCAGTTTCACAGTTTGCTTGTGAATCTTTCAAATCCCGTGACTTGAATATTTTGAATATCTGCCTTTGAAAATGCTTTAAAGCAGTAAGCCTAATGAAACACCTGATGGGCCATCTTTCTTTATTTGGCTGGGATTAAATGGTGCTGACATATGGAGTGTGCACCATTTAGCCAGCATTCTGGTCATTGGAGTGGGAAACATGCTGCTTTTTTGTTAAATTGAGGGCAGCGGCTTGAATAGTTTATTTTTACAAATGCAACTCTGTTGGCATTTAATGATCCACTCCGCATAATTCAGAGTAAAGAATTGGACAGTGCATAGTCTTGTTTGTTTGTACAAACAGCCCACCCCAGTCTCAATTAAGTTTGGCTGTGCTCCTGTTAAACTGGTAAGCTCACATCTATCCAGGTGGTTCTCTCAGTGAGAAGAATTGGAAGCCTGCAAAATTTAATTAGGGGGCACAAGTATTTTATTTTTAGCGTAATTGGAATCATGATAAGTTTATTGTCAAATCACTTTAAACTGTCAGGTGTGAAGTGTCGCCACCTAAACCTTATTTTATATTTATTCAGCTTGCAATAAATTAATGAGGTAAAAATGGCTAAAATAAATGAGCATCTTATTCTGCTGCCATCCGTGGTAGACTCTGCAGAGCACAAATTAAACAATTCTTACGTGTCGTTTTTCTCAAATAAATAAAGTAAATAAAATAAATAAAATAAAGGTCTTTTTTTAATTGATTTCTTTCTACTGGTAGCCACTAGTCATAAATGTTTCATATTTTATTGTTATGTACATTTTCAGACAGATTTTAGCAATGCACTGAGAGTCTGGCTTAATAACCCTACTCTGACATTTTCTTTCCAGTACCTTTCTGTGCACTCAAACAATTTTCTATGTCATTTATCTAGAGGCATACTTATATGTATATAAGACGTGTATTATTTTTCTGTTTGGTGTGCTTCCAAATAAGGCTGAAGAATATACATAAAAGCAGAAGGGTTTGTATCATTGAGTGGTTCGCATGACTGCCTCGTAGTGCTGGGGCCCTGGGTTCAATTCCCGTACCAGGGTGCATTTTATGTCTAAAATGATCATTCAAAGAGAAACCACAGCCATCAACATCACTTTGACCAAGATCGGTTTTAAGATTCTCAGGTGTAGCATTAGAGCTCAGAAAAGACAGCAGATCTTAGTCATTTAAAATACTGCAACAGAATTTATTTTGTTGTACTTGAAATGTATGGGAAATCGCAAAGCCTTTTGTAGTTGTGCAGAAGGAAAGTGAAATATATATGTAAACAGAGGCCAGGTGTAATTAACTTTATATGGAGGAAGTGCAGCATCAGTCAAGTCATAGGTTTGATATGTGCAGTCTTTTTCAAATAGAAAGTTTAGCCCATCCATACCTAAAGAGACAGCTTAGGGGTACTAGCTTTCCAATTCAAACACCTTCGTCATTTAAGCTAAAGATGCCTTTAAAAACTTTCTTGGTGATGGATATGGAATGAAAGACTGTAATGAAAGAAAGTCACAGAAAGACATACTTAAAATCATTTAGCTGAATGAAGTATGGAATGAGAAAATACTGCACTCTGTTAATGAATTACCTTAAGGTAGCTCAGGTTTGTATATGATGCTAAATCATCATAAATATTTGTAAAATATTGTTTCATGCTTTTTTAATTTAGCCCTTGCAGAGTCCTGTTATTGTTCCTGTTTCATAATGGATATGAATGCATTAGGAAGGCATTGTAGGATCCTTTGCCTGAAACGTCTTCAGCTGGGTTTTGCCTAACGCTTAGTGCTTGTTTCCATTTTCTGTCACAATCTGCTGTGCGGACTTGTTCAGAACACACGCTGTACTTGATGAGTGTACATGCTGGTTGGATTTCTTTGCAAATCCAGTTGTATTGATCTCAGGTTGATTGAAGCCCACGAGTTCTCAGCACAGAAGTTATTCCTCTTAAAATGTTCCACACTGAAAGGATTTATTTTAAAAATGACAGTTTTTGTAACATGTATTTTTAAATTTGTGAAGTGAGACAGGGACAGCTTGGGTTTTTCTCCAGGAGCAAGGTTTACTCTTTCTTTTAGACCTGATTGATTTACTCGTTTGGCTTCGAACATACTCTGTGTACACAAGAGCCCTTTTAAAATTAAGATTCTTGGTTGTAAACACAGAATTCTGACATGTCATCAGTATTTATACCCTACAGGAAAGGAAGATAGAACAAACTATCTTTCTGGTACAGCACTTGGCCTTAAACGTTTATAACATTACAACTCTATGCCGGTTCTGGAGGTAAATAGAAGGTTTTTGACCAAAAATAAGGGATAGAAGGGTCATGTTTTTGAAGCCTGTCTGACTTGGGATGCCACGGTGTAAATAATATACAGATGGTCTTACATTTCCAATTCAACCCATGGGATCTATCTGTTAATATCAGCTGCTATGTGTCTTTTTAAGAAAAGGAATGGTCTCGGGGCTTAAATCAAGTTGTTCAGTATGTGTGACAAATAAGAGAGTTTTGCATTGTTAAAAATCACTCTGCTCTGCTCATGTAGTTTTGAATTCTATCACAAGAGGGCAGGAGAGATAGAAGGATTCACGTGGAAAGAGACCCAGCAATAAAACCTTTTTTTGGTGACATTTACACAATGACTTTATATTTTAATAGGCCCCGTCTGTCTTGTGGTGGTATTTAAAGAACGCTTTAAGGTTGGATAGTTCTTGTTGGATAAATGTTTGGCTGAAATGAATGCCTGAATTTTTTTTCCCCACTGTTGTAAAGGCTTTTTTTCTATTATATGGCCACAAGTCTGAATTTACCACTAACCCTTAGAAAATGTTACTGTGGTGTACAGTAATGTAGCACTCTGAAAAAATATGGTAAAACATGGTATTGAGCAGACTGTGGGTAATTTTGGCAGAGCAAAGGTAAGTTCGTTGTATGAGTCACTTAACACCTTGAGATAAAATGAGTGAATATCCTCTTAATTCTCCTCTTAATTGCACCCTTTCTTGTTTCTTATAACATAAGCGTGAAAAACTATTACAACAGAGGGGCAGATATTCAAATTGCGGAGCTGAATGTTTTAATGCAATTAGATGTGTTCTGTAAGACAATACTTTTCTGTTGTAGTCCCATAAAATACCAAAGAAGTATATCACCGAAATTCAGATCACAAACTCTTTTTGTGAAGGAACACACACAGGTGAGCAACACACCTGAGTGCTTGTCTGCAGGTGCAGACCTCTTAAACGGAGTCAAACTTATCACCCTTAACGCAGCCTCCTAGGGTGTCGTGATACACATAGCACGAAGGTTATTAGCTACAGAGGGTGCCAAGTAAGGGAGGATTCACTGTGCATTAAAATACACAACTCAATAAGTTTGGCACACAACTGAGGATACGACTTAATTAAGGCCATAACTGGCTGTTGCGAACTGTAATTAAAGAGTAATGATTTTTGCTGTCCTGGGTGGCCTGGTTTCCACCATTAATGTAATGTCAATTTTCACTTTTTAAGCATGTTACCAGGATAATAGTCTAGTGATTTTGACTTTGCTAGTTTGGGGGAAAAAAATGGCTGGAATTGTTTGGTTTTTGTGCAGCCCTACCTGTTGTGAAGGATTTTTTAACTCACTTTAATGATTAAGCACGATTAAAGATAGACGCTGGAATAATGTGCTTTGTGGCCCCCACTGTCGCAAAGACCAAGTTTGATATTGATATTTCCTCATGGGTCACAAATAACAACAACAAAGGGTACACTGATGCAAAACTGGGGTTTAAGAAGATGAGAGCTCAATTACCTTTCTAGCCTTGCTGTTGCGTATCTCAGTGGGATAATGTTCTTAGAATCAGATAAAGCCAAGCCCATTGTTCATTTTGTTCATTTTCCTCTGACATTAAAGTCACAATCATTAATCATGGGTGAGAGGTTGCATTAAAGGCAGGAGGAGCCAACACAGCTGGGAGACCCTGATAAAAGTTGAATCACCATTTATATGAAGCCACTCATTCAATGAGGCGATTGTATCTTTTTCTTTCCTCCTTCATTCCTTCACGAATTCTCCAGTTCGTGTGCTCATCCATTCTTACCAAAGTGAATAGTATTGGTAGAAACTAGTCAAATCAGTTTTGACAAACCATATGAAAATGGCCTTGGTTGACATGGTAATAATACAAAACACCAAGCATAAAGCAAAACTAAGAAAAACAAATCGAATGTGATAGCTGATATACATAATGTAGGACAGCCTACAAATGAACAATTCCAGTCTGAAAAGTTAGAATGGAGCAGAACAGCACTTATGTCCATGCAGAACAGCAGATATTCCT